CGTTACCAATCGATCTCCTTACAAATCGATCTCCTTACAACTCGACTTCCTTACCATTCGATCTCCTGTGTCCTGAATGACCAAAACTCTGTGTTTTCAAAATTTTGTATCAAACAAACAAGCAACAGCCAGCTTTTTTTCGCAAATATTGTCGATATTGTTTTCAATTTGACAACATTGTTTTCAAAAGCAGTTTCCATATGTAAAAATTTTGTCGCTGTTTAGCTATACACCTTGATATCAGCAATAGGATTGTCTTAAGTAAATCGGTTGGCGCTGGTCACAAAAAGTCTTATCACTAAAAGGTTTTGAAGGCTTTTAATCGGATTTTGCCGTTTTCTTTCCCAACACTTTCTGAACTCTCATATTGAAAAAAATTTGAACGTTTAAAAGTGTGTGAAGTTTGTTTTTTCTCGTTTTTGCTTGATCAATTTCCTCAATCAATTAATCGGAATGCTCGTTTTAATCAATTTTTCATCTTTTCTTTTAGCACTTTAACTCTTGAACACAATTTTAGTGAAGCCGTTTTCTTTTTCAATGTTCAATTGAGTCATGACGGAAGTAGTTGTGGGTGGTGGAGCTTTTGGAGAGGTTAGAATAAACCCCAGCGAAAACCCGTGAGTTCAATCCTTTGAATCCTTTGAATGCTACTCTTTAAGCCTTCAGTCATTTTTTTAAGAATCATCGCAAGAAAGTACATTCCACGAAGTAACAATCAGCATCTTGATCGTCAATTCCGTAAAGAAGCAGAAGCTTTGAAAAGATTACGACACCCAAATATTATTGAATATTATGGATTCGAAGAAAAGGGAGACTTTTTTGTGATAAGCATGTCCTACTGCCAAAGGGGTAGCTTGCGTGAAGGTTTTTTACGAAATGTTATTGTAATTTTGTGAGCTTCAGTTATTGATGATCCAAAAATCATCTACACAATGAGAACAGTTTTGTACTGGAGCAATCATTTGCTCTCAGCGTTGATCTCTCTGGCTTCGAACGAAAATCGTCTGATTCATCGAGACATCAAGCCGGCAAAGTATTGATTTGGCGGGAAAGTCTTGTCCGTCTTTTCGAAATTTTCTTTTATAAATGAATAATTAGCCGATCAATGTGTGGTTTACTTAACTTTACCGTATTTTCTCTAATAGTAGTTGGTGGCCCGGCGAGCCGAGTTGGTGACTATTTTACGGTTTCCAAGCTTTTGCAGAAGCTCAACACTCTAATCCCCCACTAGATCTCATCGTCAGCTACATTTTCCAACCCCACATCGATAGGTTCTGATAAGCGGTTCTCGAGATTTCGAGCAATTTAGGCGACGCTCAGGGTGCACTACTATCAGAGAAAATACGGTAGTGAGCTCAACTAACGGTAACTGTTTCATTTTTAGACAAATTTGAGTCCCCTTTGAAGCAAATCCGAAAGGAATTCCTGTTTATCCTTAAAATCTTCACAATGGACACAGAATGAAAATGGCTTAGTGAAATGTTATGAAAATTTGTCTATTTGCCAAACTTTTCATTTTTTATCTTTTGTAAAAGACAAAAACGACACCAAAATAGATTTTTATGACAGAAGGTGCTCTGTGAGTTTTATCGTTTTTTGACTGCTCCACTTCACACCTTTAAAAATATTAACTAACGCGATCTTTTCATAATTTCTTAAAGAACAATTTGTAAATAAATAATAGGCCTTTCTGATAAAACAAATCATAAATCGATTGGCTCATTACTCGTTTAAAAAAGCGGACAAGAATTACCGGCCAACCTGATGAAAATTGTTCTTGTCAGCTTGAAAAAAACAGCTAAACAGAATGTTCACAAGCTTTGTTTCTAGCTTAAGCGTTCTTAGCTTTTAGCACAGGCTTTTAGCATCCTGGTAACAGAAGATTTCACGCTAAAACTGGCCGATTTCGGGCTAGTGAAGGACTTAAATTCACAAACCACGAGCACAAGTCAAATTATTGGAACATATCGTTATATGAGTCCCGAGGCTTGGGGAATCAATAGTCGAATACGGGTTTGTACAAATTACACAGAAATTTAACTGCTTTTGATTTCAGGTGACAGAAAAAAGTGATTTGTATGCTGTTGGTTTGGTACTTTGGGAGATCATTGAACGAAAGTAAAAATGCATAAAATTTATTCTAGAAACTCAGCATTCATATCTTAGATTGGTTTTTCTCAAACATCACCGCTTGGATTTTCCAAATAACTTATCCTTAGATTCTCCAAATTGTGAAGAGGCTCTAGCTAATGCTATTATGCGGTTGAGTTCAAAACATTCGAAAAAAGACCCTAAAAACATTTTAGCTGTACCCATTTTGATAGTGAACAAAGGCCTGCTGCTACTGATGTGCTAAACTCAATAGAGAACTTAAAACAGGTACGTTAACGTAAAAATTATTAGGTACATGCATAAGAAATGCGTATTTCAACATTTTCCTAAATTTCCAACGATAGAAACCTGGTATCGATGAATGTTATAAACTATTTGAAAGTTGTAAATCTCCTCTACAAAATAGGCTAAAACGTGTTTCAATTCATCGAACCATTGAAGAAATTTCGAGAGCGAAATGCGAGTGACCAAAAAGGAATCGAGTCACTTTAAGGACAAGTTTAGTGTGGCCAAAATAGAGTTCCGCAAATGTATTTCCATTAGACTTTTTAATCAGTTGATATATAGTTATCCTTTTTTTTAAATCTTCAATTTTGGGAAGCTAACTCTATTTTGACGACGCTAAACTTGTCCCTAAAGTGACTCGATTCCTTTTTTGGTCACTCGCATTTCGCTCTCGAAATTTCTTCAATGGTTCGATCGATTGAAACACGTTTTAGCCTATTTTGTTTTACAACTTTCGAAGGAGATTTACAACTTTCAAATAGTTTATAACATTCATCGATATCACGTTTCTATCGTTGGAAATTTATGAAAATGTTGAAATACCCATTTCTTATGCATGTACCTAATCTATTGTAAAAAGTTGTGAAATCTAGAGTTATACTTCATTTGTATTTAAACCAATACAACAAGACGAGCAAAAAAGAATTATTCGCCCAATAGGCTTCAACAAAACAAATGATCCAATACCATTGGAGGAGGAAGCCACAGAACGAAGTGACCTCGTTGTTCCTAATCTAGGTGATTCCTTATGGAAAAGTGAAGTTTTTTTTTGTTCGTTCGGATCGTTCGTTCGTTCAATCGTTCAAATCTATTGGGTTGGGGAGAATGAGTCGGCGCCGAAAATGAAAAAAATGTCTAAAACTTCTATTCGACTTCGTCAAATAATATGCGTTTGATATCAGTAGAATGGTTAACTAATTCTCTACAAAATCACATTTAAAAGAAAATTCAAACAGCGCCTCCGCTCAAGAAAAAGCCATTTTTTCACAAAAACTACAAACTGTGATCTAGAAAAAACCATTGGTGGGATCTTCCTGCAAATTTGGCAACTTAAGTAATTCAATGTGCTCTATCTTTTTTATATAAACACCAAAGAAGGTTTATGTGAAAGAAACTGTTCAAATGATAAGTCGGACTCTTTGCCATTTTAACCAGCTGCGTTTGGAAGTTCATAAACTCCACGAAAGAAAAGCTTTGTGGAATCTCTCAAAAGTGATTTTGTAGAGAAATAGTGGATCCTTTTGATGAAACCAAACGTATGTTTAAAGAAGGCTTTATGTGTGCAAAAAGTCCCTTTAAAGTTCGGCGCCGACTCATTCTCCCCAACCCAATACATGTCTAGATTCTATACAGAATGTCCCAAAATTATGGAGTGGATCCTGTTTTGACAGATTTTTTTTTGTTTTATCTTGTTCTTTTTCTTTTTTTTACTTATGACAAAAAATTCTTTTGTAGTGTCTTTTTTTAGGATGAAATCACTATTGGATGTGTGATCAGCAATCAATGGAGACTTCAAAAGCAATCAAGCGCTTCAAAGAGACTGGGAAATTGGACGATTGGTCAGAACCTGGCCGAAGGAAGATTGCCAACAATCCAATCAATCGTCGAAAGATCTTTCAACGAATCCAAAGAAACCCGAGATCACAGAAAAACTTCATTTGAAAGATGGCTACTGCAATTGGAATCTCAAAGACTACATTGCACCGAATTCTCAAAAAATGAAGAAGGCACGAAAAGATGGAAGCAAACATTACTTAACCGAAATGAAACGAAGCGCAAGATTGGATCACAAAGAATTTTCTTGATTGGGTCACAGTTGATATCCAGGAGAATGACCATCCAACTCTCTCCGGATTTGAATGTTTTGGACTACAGCATTTGGTCGATCTTGCAGTTCATGGCTTGTTGAAAGCCTCACACATCAATTCAGTCTTTGAAGAAGGATTTGAAGAAAGCTTGAGACGATATCGATATGGAGGTTATCAAAAAGGTCATGGATGACTTTCCGAAACGATTATGAAAATGTATTCAAGCTAAAGGAAGACACTTCGAAACTTTGAACACGAATGGGTACTTATTGATTAGCCCGTTTGTTTATGCAAATTTAAATTCGTGCATTGTTTATATAGCTAATTTTTTATGGTTGGTGCATCATATTTGTGAATCCTCAGTTCGGCGTCCACACACAGAAGAAAAAGAAGAACAACTTTGGGAGAACGCCCAATGGAGAAACAAGTGCAACCAGAAATCGTTCGTGTAAATCTCGATTTATAATCTCCAAATTCGTGTGTCGCTGTTTACAAAAGCTTTATTGGATGCGACTTTTTGCCAAATCAGCGTGATGTTTCCTCCACCAATGTGGGCAAATCGATTTTATCTAGTGGTTTTGTCATGCTAATTCAAAAAAACGAGCCTTGTAATCAATAAGTACCAAATAATGTTCTATTTTTGTTCTTTTTCAATGTTTGTTAAATGATTTTTAAGTTATATATAAAAATTTCTTGAAAATTAACAAAAGATCAATCATCGAATTTCCACCCAATAATTTTAGGACACTCTGTAAACTAACCTTTTCAAAACAAGAAAATTGTTATTTTATAGGCATGGAACAACCAAACAATGATAATAAAAAGCAAAATTCTTCCAATGGCACTCAACAAATCGAGGAGAAACATAGCCCGTTTTCGGAAGAACAACCGTTGCCTGCCAAAGAAACTAATCCATCGACGAACTTACCACAAATTGTCGAACAGCAGGAAGTTCTTTCAAATTCACCCACTCCTGTTGGACAACCGGGTGATGTAGTTGATGCTAAAGGGACGAGTAATCCATCAAGAAACATTGAAGAAGAGAATCATGAACCACCTCCAAATTCTCAAAATGAAAATTCTCCTCAGCTCGAAGAACGAAATCCCTCGATTTCGAGTACAAGTCGGTTGTTGGAAGAGCCTACAAATAATCAAAGAACACAAAGAAAAATATTTTCTGGAAAGACTCTAGTAATCTTTATCACCGCTATTGTCGTTTGCCTTGTTCTTTTTGCTGTGTTATTGTGGGCATTATACCCTCCAAGCCCACCCGCTCCTCCAAGTTGTCAATATGGATGGAATTACTTTAATGGAAGCTGCTATAAGGTTGGTTTTGTGAAAGAAAATCACTATTTGCAAAATGAAACGATTAAAACGAAATGAAGCGACTAATTTCAAGGTGTCAATTTCTCAAAAAAAAGATATTTCTAGCTGTACTCAAATAAAGTGGGATACAATGCAGCAGAAGCCGAATGTCGAGAAAATAATGCAAATGTTGTCTCAATTCACAGTGAACAGGAGCAAAAATTTGTAAATGGTAATTATTTGAAGTGAATGCTTTAGTTTCTGTGCTATTGTTGGCATTATATCATCTAAGCATTGAAGTAATGAAAAAAGATTAATTTAACCTTAAAACTTTAAACAAAAATCGATTTTCTTCGATGTTCTTGTTAAACTTATCCTTAAAGATAAAACTATTGAACACTTTGACAAAATAAGGAACTAAATTTAGCTTCCCAAGAGCAAATTCACTTTCTCTCAATGAAAACCAAAGATCAAGATTTTCACTTTTAACACTGATCTTTTTATTTAGTTAAAATTTTGCAAAAAAATATTATTCAGACTTGCGAGAGGGGAGTTGGACCTGGCTTGGGCTGAAGGTTTGTTCAAAGCGCGAATTTTTCTTTAGTAATGAGAATTTTAACGGACGAATAGATGGAGAGTCTCAAGAGGCCAAAAAATGTCAGACGAAATCAGAAATGTTTTTTTAAGCACGACAGTAAATGGTCATGGAGTGACGGAAGTGACGTTGATTATACGAATTGGGAGGACGGACATCCCATGTTGATTAGGACCTTGACTAATGTGAGTTAAGATCTTTATATGATATTATAAAGTTGAGGGACGCGGTACACCTGGTAAAAATCCAATTGAAGCTTTTTTGAGAGCCGTTTTTGAAGTCATTTAATGAATATAGTGCGTTTCAAATCCTTAAGCGCACCCTCCAAAATGAAGATTTTTGCATTTTAAACAACGCTGCAACTATTATTCCTTTTCTATTGGAAACTATTGGTATCAACCGCTTCAAATTCTTAAGCACACCCGTATCCTTTTCTATTGGTATCTTAAAACCTAGAAAACACTAAAAATAAGCGTACTCTAAAGAGTAAAAATTTTCAAAATAGAAACTTTTTAGTAAATCAACCGTTTCAAATTCTTCATCGCACTATGAAAACATTTTTATTTATCGACAAAAATTAACAATAAAAAGTGAAAATCAAAACTAATAATCTGTACACGTACCAGAACGATTAATTACTTGAAAAATGTGGATTGGCATTGAAGTGATGAGGTTTTGAAGAACAGAGACGTCGAGATAGCTCCAGGCCAAACGGATCGCTGCTTTAAGTGCGAAAACATCTTGAAACCGACGATGACTCTTGTAGACAGCTCGGACCAGTATTCCTCATAAATTCTCTATCGGATTGAGGTCAGAAGAACGGGCCAGTTCAAAGTTGCAATGTTGTTGTTGTTCAGCCAGTCTCGGCTGTTTCCGGGTCGATGAATTGACGCCTTGTTGTGTTGAAACAAATAGGGAACGGTTGTATTTAGGTGCAAAAACCGCAGCAAGCAATCTTCAAAGACATCTATATAGTCAAAACGATTCATCCGACTTGAAACCATCTTCAGAGCGACCGTTCATTAGCACAGAAGAGCCCAAAGCCCAAACCACCGCCAAAAAACAACAGCCATAGTTTCGAGTCCCAAACACCATCGGATCATGTCGAAGATCCTACTACTACTCAGCGCCATTGGAAGCATCCAAATTCCGTTCCTTCTCATCGGAAAAAATCACCTAAACGAGAAAAATTAATAGAACATAGGTTGCTTTCTAACCTTAAACCAATCCTGGTTCATGAGCCTTGACGAAATCCAATCGGGCTTTCTTGTGCAAAAGCGTCACAGCCGGTTGCTTGTTCAACAATTGTCGATTGATATGTGGGTCTTCCTTGACGGTTCGCTCAATTGTCGACCGTGAAGCGTCGATTTTCAGTTTCGTGGATGTTATTCACAATATGGCGTCTAGCTCGTGGTGTAAGTTTTGGTTTGGTCCTGGCTTCTTCTTTGATGCAGAAACGGCCTTCGACTTGATAAAATTTCGCACAGCACAGTCGGACCCAATTTTGCAAATTTCTTATTGAGTTTGCTTCTTTGCCAACCTTCAAACGCGAATCGAGCTGGCTTTTCTAAAAATCCGTGAGCAGCTTGTGCCTTGTGCCATTTACCTAGAAATTAACAAAAATTATAAATTTAATAATAAAATATGCACAACAAAAGGAAAACGTTTAAACAAAAGCAAACACGGATGCGCTTAAGAATTTGAAACGGTTGATACGAATAGTTTCCAATAGAAAAGGAATAAGAGTTGCAGCGTTGTTTAAAATGTAAAAATCTTTATTTTGAAGGGTGCGCTTAAGAATTTTGAAACGCAGTGTATAATTCTGGCGCACCTTGTAAATGCCCGAGTCAAGAGAATTTAGATGCGACGTGACACCGGGAAATGGGAATCGAAAACATCGCTGGATAACAACTTTTTCATTTGCAAGAAACCAAAATGATTGAACATATAAATATTAATTTATTCTACAAATTAAGCCCATATGTCCTGTTTCCTGTTTCTGGAGATATTGCCTTCTCTAGAAAGAGTTTTTAGCTAATGAATTTCTTTTAGCCATGATAAATACCCCAATCAAACACTTTGATTTCAAAGAAGAGGTCAAAAATGGCTGATAAATTGGTTTGCGTGAAAACCGAAGATCTTCCACGAAAGAGGCATTCGATTCTGCCAGTAAAATGGGCACAAATCATACAAAATAATAGCAAATATGTTGTATGATTTGAAGTTTTTAATTGGAGATAAATCCCATTTCAAAAAAACGGTACTTGTCGGTTATACATCCACAAAAACTAATCTCGGTTAAGCATCCCCATGCTTAAGTCTTCTCGGTTATCGATTTTCGTTCTGATGAATGACTGATCGACTTCTGATGATGAATGACTTCAGGCGAGCACTCTACTTCACTAAACATGATCACCCGTCACAATTTGTCAACTCCTTGCTTAACCGAGTTGAGTCTCTGTGGAGGTATAACCGAGAAGTACCAAAAAAACGTGCCAAGTCATACCCATCAACCCAATATAAAAAAATTTAACAATAATATTATCTTTAAACAAAGTTATGAACCTTCAAACCAGTATTTAATGTAAATGCTTTGAGAAATTTAATATAAAATTTATTTCTAAAACAAAACAAGTACTAATTTCCAAGCAACAACAATAACCGTCTATGATTCGGTTTCAATTTTGGAATCGCTGACGCTTTCTTCTGATTGTCGCCTCTCCATCTTAGGCGTCACCAATCCTTCCACAATTTCTCCGTTCAATTGATTTGAATTCAAAGAGTTCAAAAACACTTCCGATTCCATGTCATTGATCCTTTTTAAGTTTAAGTATTGAATTCGACTCGATTTCTTTGTTGGATGAAGAGGATGAGGGTTTTCGATGCCATTTTTCTCTTTCACCTCCTTTTCACCTCGATTTCTTGCGGCTCGGAATTGTTTCTGAAAAGTTTATGTAAGATTTGATTTGTTTCTGGTTGTGTGACCTCCATTGCCGTCATGGCCGACTGGCTAAGAGCCCTGTATCTTATTCAGGAGGTCAAGAGTTCAATCCCGCCGGCTAGGTTATTGGTTCTTTTTTCATATTTATAGGTTTTTCTTTTCTACATTTAGGGCTTAGGGGTTAAGGCTAAAGTTGTACTTGTGTATTGTTTTTACCACATTATACATGTGAATATATTTGTTGTTATCTAATTATCCAGTTCGATCTAGCGGTAAAACTGACCAATTCTTGCCACATTTCGTCGGTGATGTGATCCAAACAAAGCACCAATAGAGGATGTTTCTAAAGAAGTTTATTGTTTAAATTTAGATGGTTACACTAAAAATTTATCGTCTTTAGATAAAACTATAAATAGGCCATTAGATAAAACCATAAATAATCTACATAAGCTTATAAAAACCAGTCTAAAGTTTGCTTTTGTTAAACCAACCGCTCTCAGCTCAATAATCTTTCCATTAGCTTTGAAAACCTCATCGAAATACGCATGATCATGCTTATTGGTGGTGTTCATCCAATGCTTTCGAGCGAAATCGTTTTCCTTATTCGTATGGCCGCAAAGACAGCAGGCATTAGCCTAAAAGTTTTATTAAGTCTTGACAGTAAGCAGTAAAGAAGCAGTAAAGACGATTTTTACTTTCTAAACATGGAAAAATTGCTTTAATTCCTACCCAATGCTTGCTTGCCGCTTTCCTTTCGCTTTTCTCTTTCGCTTGCTCTCGAATCTTTTCCCGAATCTCTTCTGTGAAATGTGCCTTGCAGACGAAAGTTGAGGCATAACGATGAACCTTTACATAATGATGATTCACTTTCTTCATTGGATTCTCTTCCGTACTTCGTTTCTAAAAATCTTTAATCTAAAATTTTGTGAAAACCAATTTACAAATAGATTTAAGAGTTTCGGTGCGGTGCCGAAGAGATCATCGAATTGTTTGGCCTGGTAGGGAGTGGCGATTGACTTGAGGTTGAGTCGTAGGACGGGGTTGTTACAAAGAGCACAGGGATGCTTCTGAAAAAAAGTGCTTATGAAAAGTGTGATATGTGACTTGTGGCTATGAAATATTAGGCTGTCTAGAAAGTCTTTTCATTCCTTTTCATTCCTTTTCACTTCTTTTCATACTTCTGTTGAAAAATAACAAATTCACCAATTAACCTATAATTTGAAAATGTTTATTGCTTAATTTCTCATCCTTTTGAGTCAATTTTGGTTCACTTTCAAGCAAATTCGAGCGTGAACGTGTTTTCGAGAGTGATTGAGACGTGCTTTTCGCAAAAATCCATAAAACCTCTACAAAGAAATTGGCTAAATGAATTTCTCTGAAAATTTGGCCATTTTTGTGCTTTTTGTGCTCTATCTTTTATCTATTGACACCAAGATAGGTTTTCTTAGCTAAAGCTCAGGCTCGCTCTAGCTAAAGCTAAACCGCATCATCGAACCGTCGCAACATATTCTTCTTGGTGCACTCAATCCGACCCAAAACGCATAGTTGAAGCAAAAGTTTTCTTATTCTACCCACCACCGTTTTCCTGTAATGCATCTGTGCGGCCAACTTCTCGATGTGTCGAGTGCACATGTAGCCGCAGCCCTTGCCCGACTGAATTTTAAATTATGAAGTATACAATTTTCTTCAAAGCTTACAAGCATCAACGCGTTCAATGCGGCAAAGGTTCGAGTGTTGCTTTTGAAGCCGATTCTCTTTAAATACTCGTGCATCTCTTTGGCTTTCTCGAATGGGACGACTGTCTGAAATTGAAGAATACTGGAAACATTCTAGAAGAGTCGGCTCTTCTTTTTCAAAATAAACCCAAAATTCTTTTTCTACGTTAGCTACAGAAGGCTTGCCTCTTTCCTAACATCTCAGCTACTCCGGCTCTTTCCTATTACTAAGTATTGGATTGCTGGATAAGTCCTGTCCGTTTTTTTGTGAGAGGGTCTCAAACTCAACCAATTCCAACGTAGACTATCAAACATTTTGAGTTTTAAGTTTAAATTTAGCCAAAAAGCTAGTTTTTCTCCTTTGGTTTTAAGGCTTTTATTACTTTTTTTATTTTTGAAGTTAATTCTGATTGTATTGATGATAGTTTTGTTTAGTGCAATTCAATGTAGATGCAATTTCGAGTACAATGCTATTTTTCCTGTGTTTGTGGTCTTTCTTCAACAGTTTATCAATGTAGCCGCATCTCGCCTCGTTACAGTTAATGAAGAATCGCGTTTAAAAGCAAAAGCGAAAAGCAGAAGAAGCAAAAGATCAAATCGCTGTATAAGGTACCCGTTTTTTTAATAAAGAAGTGAAAGAATTGGCAAAAAAAGGTAGATTGCCGGAGAGGGGATTGAACCCTCGACCATTTGCTTTCCGACCCGCTTTGCGAGCTTTTGCTTTAAAGACTGAGCCATCCGGTAGCTTAACTTGCCAAGGGAAAGAGGGAAAGACAAGGGGGAAGAAGAAAGGAAGAAAGAAAAAAGGAAATATCTGGATTCTAAGAACCGTGGGCTCCCACCCTAATTGAAAAATAAGATACCTAGTAATTGGAAAGAGCCTTCGATATTAAATATTCTTTTTAGACATTTTAGACATTAAATTAGATATTTTTAGATATTAAATATGTTTGCATGCTATTATCTGCTACGAATTTTTGAAACAACTCACCATTTCCCTAATTTTCGGATCCTTTGTGCTGATTTTGACTTTACATGACGCGAAGATGCAACGAACGAGGTTTTCCTGGAAAATAATAATTAGATAAATGCAAATGTTAAGCATTTAATCAAAATCGTTATTTACTACACTGTAGTTAAGCAGAATTTACAACATTTTTAAGCGCATGACACATTTTTTACTGCTTTTCTTCTCAACTCACCTTTTGCCCTGCCACCTCCTTGCGAAAACTGGGACCGTAGATCGTTTCTTGCTAAATTTTCCCATATTTTCACTCAACCATTTCCAAATACCATTTCTTTTGTGATAAAATCTGCATTCAAATCCAATTTCGGCTGATTTTCCCTTCTTCGTCGATCGATTTTCTGTTTGACTTTGATGTTAAGCTTCTCGGTTTTTTGAGTCTCCAAATTCCACATAATTTCCCGCCAATCATCATCTTCTTCGATTTTCATTTCTGAAAAGAGTAACATTAAGTTCTGAGTTGAATTTTACTGTCCTAAGAAGCTGAACTTTAATGTACCAAGAGACTTTAAGGTCCTGGGGATCTACAGGGTGCGGCGAAAGTTCTGTCCTTTTTAAATCCTCTCTGATTGTCATTATTTCACAAGTGTTTATAGCCAAAAGATAGCCAATTTCCTACAGAATTTAAATCTTATTACCCTTTTTAAAGAGCTTCTTTAAATTTTGAGTTATCACAATTTGTGTGCGGTCTGCAGTCGCACCAGTTATTAGTATTACCAGTGTAAAAAAAAGCTGTCAAACTTAGAACTCAGACGATTAGAAGTATTCAAACAAATTGTCTATCAATTCCAAACTGGAAATACAACAACAGTTTTCAATAAGTTTGTAATTTTTATAGAAACTTTTGCAATGAAAAATGCAAAAATATGTGCGACTAAAGATACTTTTGCAGCGATAACTCAAAATCTAAAGAAGGTATTTAAAAACTGTAATATGATTTAAATTCTGTGAAAGACTGGCTATTTTGGCTATAAACACTTATGAAATAAAATCAACCAGGAAGCTTTTAGAGAATTCTAAAAAGGACAGAACTTTCGCCCTATAAAAGCTATATAATTTCTCACCGATTTCGCTCGCTTCACTTGTCCCAGGCATGCTCATATCCAATGTTGGCACGTACTTCTTGTCATCATTCTAAAAGATAAAGTTTAAATTTGTGCTTTAAGACTTAAAGCTTAAAGATTTTAAGTTTCCCGGCATTTTCAAACCAAAATACTTTAAAATAAACCAAAACTTGCTTACTCACAGGTGTAAAGAGTGAAAGATCCTCACTGCCACTCGTTCCCGCATCGATTTCAGCTCGAGATTTCGAACCGCCTTGTAGAATTCTCAGAAATGTTTCCTCAATATCTTCATCTTTGATATTTCCATTCGTTCCCGAGAATTCGGCGTGTAAATCGAAGCAATCATCCGGAAATTCTTCATCGATTGGCTCTTCTTTCACTTTTTTGGGAGCCATCCTGAAAATAAAACAATACAACAGTAAATAAATATAGAAAAAGTAAATAGAACAAGTATAAACTTAAGAAAAGATTTGAAAAACAAAACTAAAATTCTTTGCTGACTTTGAAAGTTGGAAATTCGATAAAGCAAATTTGGTAATCATTCAAAGAAAGCTCAACTTCTTTCTAAAACTTTAAAAGTTAAGTACATTTAAAACTAGGCAATATTAAAAGTCTATTTTCTGGTGTTTCTTTGTTAAAATTCTGATTTTAACAAAGAAATAAAGCTTATTTTAGTTAAAAAATGGTCGAAAAATGTCTCAATCGATCCTCTTTTGCTTTTTTTTTGCCGTCTGCCACCAATTACCACATGAAAAAGGCGAATTGGCGACTACAAACTATACAGGGTGTTCAATAATTATCTGGACTGGGTATTTTAATTGTAACTCAGCACTCAGATTTGCAATCATCTCACCCTTTGTTTTAACGCAAAATTTAAATGTTTTTCTACGATAGATTCTTAGGTTTGACGAAAAACACTTTTTCTGCCTTTTTTATAGAACCTCAAAGTTTGCAGTCAGGAGTTGCTTGGGACGGCAATTGTTTTTCGAGAATTTAACAAAAATTTTAGTGGTCACGAACGTTTCAACGCTAAATTTAGTTTTATTAGGTTACATTTACCTAATAGTTTCAAGATTCACATTTAACAGAAACCGAAAAATGAAAAAACTTCCGTTCGCAGGCAATTTTGCTATTTGAGAATCTTGCTTTCACATGGGCCTAAGCTAACGCTTGTTAAAAGATAACCCTGCAAACCGAAATTTTTTTGAACATCCTGTAGAATTTAGAGTAACAAAAATATTTTCTCTTAATTCGTTAACAAGAAAACCAAAAAAAGCTTAATCTATTACAGCAGGATTCCTGGATCACTTTGCTATGAAAACTCTCACTTTGTGCTCAAATTTGAGCTTGCTGGATTGTAATTTGTTTAGAAACAAAATCTATTCATAAAACTCTGCAAAACAATAACGATTTCATAATTAACAATTTTAACAACTATTCAAATCAACAGAATTCAGCCCCATTGCTGGCTTCACTTTATCATTTTTGTCGCTCTCTTCTGATTGCACCAATCCTTCCACAACTTCTCCATTGGATTGATTTGCATTCAATGAATTCAAAAATTCTTCCGATTCTTCTTCGATCATTTTTGGATTTAGAGGTCGACCGTCTTTCCTTGTTGTCGACTTTTTGATTCCACTTTTTGCCTCTTTCTCTTCTTTCAAATCTCGGTTTTTCGCGGCGCGGAAGTGTTTCTAAAAAGCCAATATTGCTCCCAATTTATAGTTTATAAAGTTAAGTAAGAAGTCGCAAAGAAAGACTTCCGGAGAGGGATTGAACCCTCGATCTTTTTGTTTTGCCCTCTTTGCCTTTCCGGACAGATGCTCTAACTACTGAAGTATCCGGTATCTTCTTGCCAGAGAAGAAAAAGGAAATACAAGGGGGGGGGAAGGAAGAAAGAGAAGAAAATGTGTTATATCAAGTGCTACCTCTAGCTGTGAAACTGACCAATTCTTGCCACATTTCGTCGGTGATATGACCCATACAAAGCACCAATTGAGAGTGTTTCTGAAAATGAAGTGATAAAAACGAGAATCACATATAGATTTTGACTTGATTTATTCATAAACTGTTTAAAAATTGTTGTTTTAATCAACTTGTTAGAGGGAACATTTAAAATTAGAGTGTGTTCCTCGTGATTAAATAATTAATTGAATTAATTTGCATAATCAAATTTTTAATGAAAGATCAATTAATCTATTTTCGCCTCAATTAAACAAATTGGTGGCAAATTCAATGGGCTTAGTATCTTTTACGTGTGAAAAAAAATAAAAATAAATCCGAAAAAATATTTAGCAATGTTTATATTTATTTATATAACTACGGTAGTCTTTTTGAAATGTGCGCTTTATAAAACGCATCAAACATGAGGCACACTCTATTTTAGTCATGGGCACTACAAACTACAAACATAAACTTCAAACGCTTCTTACTTGCTTCAAATCTGCCGGATTGACATGATCTATAACTGAAAAAATAGAGAATCTCAAGAGCTTTCGAATGAACTAAAGCACATCCTAAAATACGAATGCTAAAGAAAGTTACATTGGTAGTTTATAGTGCCCAATTCTACTCTCTTTCAAGGAACCCTTTGCCTAGGTATAGTTTTCAAGTTATAAACGAACCGCTTTCAACTCAATGATCTTGCCACCAGCGTTCAAAACCTTATCGAAATATTCGTGATCGTATTTGTTGCGGCTGAAAGTCATCCAATGCTTTCGCACAAAATCATTTCCTTCATTCGTATGTCCACAGAAGCAACAAGTGTTTGCCTAAAAGAGTCAATTGCTCGCAAAGTTCAAGTTAGTATCTTTTTGCTGACCATAATCTCGATGCTCAATAGAGCTTTTTGCAAGTAAGCTATCTTTTAAGACGAAAAGCATAAACACATTCTTTCTGGCACACTCTATCACGATGTAATTTGTGGTATAACCCTTTTGCCGCTTGTTTTTGCCGGTTGCAAGGGTTTCCGCCGCTTGAAACCCAAAGTAACCATCTTAAGTTCTTCAAATAATTGAATATCATACCCAATGTTTATTCGCCGCGATTCTTTCCTTTTTCTCTATCTCCTGATTTTGAAGTGTTTGCCGAACCTCTTCTGTGAAATGCTTCTTGCAAATGAAAGTCGGCACAAATCGGTGAACCTTTAGCCGGCTCAAGCGGTAATAGCTTCTCTTCAGTGGAGGGTTCAACTCTTGCTAAAATTTCAAAATATTGGGAAATTTAATCTAACTCACAAATTCCTTGTACAGTTTTGGTGTAATGCCAAAGATTTCATCCATTTGTTTCGCCATGTAGGGATTGGAGACTGCCCGGAGGGTGCGTCGAAGTACCATTTCATTGCAGAGGGAACAGGTGTGTTTCTGAAATGATTTGTACTTCAGGCTTCCTTTTGATTTAATAAATAAAACGCATTTTCTGGAGCGCTCATTTTTCCCCTACTTAATCTAAAAAGTTCTTCAGTTTGCTTGTGCCAAAATCGAAATGTCTCAGGTGAGCCCTGGTGTACCTCACTCCTAAACCTCTTGTCTTAAACTTCACACGCAGTTCTCACCTAAAACTGAAGCAGTACTTAAAACTCAAGTACTCATCTCTAAGTATAATCATTTTCAGCTTCCCAATCGTCTAAATAGTTCAATAATTTTTTTAAGCAGCGCATAACTCTCATCTTTTCCCACCTCCGTTTTCCTGTAATGTATCCGTTCGGCCATTTTCTCGATGTGCTCCGTGCACATAAAGCCGCATCCTTTGTTTGCCTAAAACTCATGGGTTGGGTAACTGATCAAAATATTAGGTCTATTAACGGATCTATAAAATAAATAGTTCGTAAATCTTACATGAATCAATGTATTCATAACGGTAAACTTTCGGATCTTGTTCTGGAAATTTCGCTTCAAATAGTCGTGCAGCTTTTTGGCCTTCTCGAAGGGAACAACGGTCTAAAATTGGCAAAGATTGGATTATTGTTTACCTGGTTACGTATTAAACGTTGTCTCATATAGAAATTATATAGAATAGAAGTTAAGTTACCTATAGAATATAAATATAGAAGTTAAGTGCTTCTGTATTGTTTATTTTGTTTTTATACTCCTTACCATTTCCTGAAATTTCGGATCCTTCATGCTCACTTTGGTGTTGCACGGCGAATAGATGCAGGTAAACTACAAGATTTTCTTTCTTTACAGCAAAACATTTGTTCTGCAATGAGAACGAGATAAAAGTATAAGAAAGGGGAATTTGGGAATCATTTGCTTTGGTCAAAATTTTGTTTTCATAATGAGAATGGAAAAGTCTATTATTTTTCTTTTGGCGGATCGAATAGTTGCGTTAAATGTTTAGCTCCGATACAAGATACTTTGATTTCATTTCAAATTTATTGAAGTACTCAAAAATAATCCAATCCAAAGATCCAATAACCCGTCAATCAAGATTACGAGATGTAAACAATTTGGTTAACAACAAACAAGACTTCAATAAACAACATTGAAGTATAAGGATATTTTGAAGCTATAAAATCACTGAACATTAAATTTACAGCACAAAATATGGATTGTTGATCTCATCAGGGAAAACATCTTCCCCAAAATGTAGCTTATTTCGATCGATTTCCGTTTGATATTCCTCGTCCGAATAACCCCAACCGCCTATTCGATTTCGACGAGTCTCTCGGCTAAATTAAAGGCACAAGTTCATTTTTAGATTTACACTTGTTTCATTTTACTTTTTTTTATTGCAAGAGTCATTTATAGATCAGCTCCTCTAAAAGTTTAGCCCAATTAAGCAAAAGCAGTTCTAAGCAAAAGAAAAATCCCTTATTTACCATACGTTTACGAGATTTTTCTTTATGGAAACGAAAGTTTTAAAATGAAAAGAAAAAGGAATTAATTTACGAGTGGAATAGACAAAAAGGACCATTTTCTGCCTTAAATATGGCTGCATTTTTGCTACAAATTCGACATCCTGGAAACTATTGTTTTACATAAACATTGTCATAGTCAAACTGATGGTTTAGGGTTTTAATTTCCGTTTTTCGCTTACATGTTCAAGACAAATGAATCTCGGAGTCGCTTTGCCAACACACTCTCATCTTTAGCATAGACGGCTTTCTTTGGGCGGAAGAATTTGGCAGAAAAATCTAGAAATCTTTTAGATTAGCTCAATTGTAAAAATAAATCCTGAGATTTTTCATTGACAAGTTCACTCACCTCCAAAATGATCGAGAAATTGATCGGACAAGACGATTGATTGCTGATCGCGTTCTCGTGAATCACAGGTGACTCGGTGCACATCGCTTGGCACTAGCTGAAGAGTTTAATTTAATCGAAATCCAAAGGTTATTTTTTTCAAACCATCTTTGCAGCCATCTTTGAGAAAGCTTTGATCTGATGCTTGAGAGTAGTCGCATTCGTGAATGTGGTCGGCATGATGGATGGAATGGCTTTCTAAACGGTTATTGGACATTTGATACGCGCTTCGCTTCTTTTGCCATTGGCAATCTAACTTTGAGCTCAAATATATTGGTGTTAGTGTGTCCAATTTAAATAGTTTTTTTTATACCAATCGACAGAGAAAGACTTGGCGCACCTAATGATATTAAGGATATTTAAATTGGACAGCCCAACACCAAAATATTTGAGCTCAAAGTTGAGCTAATGGCAAAGGGGGCGAAGCGCGTAGCAAATGTCCCACAACCTTTCTAAACAGGTTCAAGTGATGCTTGATTGTTTAAGTTAAATAAATCGAATGAAATTTAGTGCTTCAAACAAAAGCAAACCAACCCTTGCACAAAACGCCAAATTGATGGGACGAAGCGGATCCTGAGCAAAGATCCAGCAATCTTTCACCGGCTTCGGTAGAGGATTCAAGATGAGATCCCATTGATCCAGTACAGCATCAACATTTGCTGCTGATGCTTGTGTTTGAGCTTTCTCAGCCATTTTCGGTTTCTTTCTCTTCTTCATGTCCAATAGAGATCGGATCTCGTCAACCTCCTTCTCCACATCAGCCACTCGTTCATCGGAGAGTCGTTGCCGTTTTCGGAGCTCCTCATTTTCGAACTCAAGTACGTCAATCTAAATTTGGAAAGCTTGAATAAACATCTTTGATTCGTAAACCTAGACTTTTCGACATAAAACCCACCTTATCCTGAAGAGCACTGACTATTGCAAAAGTGGCCAATCGCAGACTTCTCAAGTCACTCGTGTTCCACATCACTTGCCGCAATGGGCCCATCTTTACGAGCTAAACTATTTCCTTATCTTTCTTCCTTTCTTCCTTTCTTCCTTTCTTCCTTTCTTTCTCTTCCTTGTCTTTCCTATTTCTTCTTGGGCAAAAAAGGCGCTGATAGCTCAGTGGTAGAGCATCTGCTTAGTAAGTAAAAGGTCGAAGGTTCAATTCCAAATTCTTTGCCATTGATTTCTTTACTTTATCGCATAGCTCAGCTATTTTCACTTACACTGAAGTCATTCTGGTGGAATTTGTTGAGATAAGTGGTGGCTGAGTAGCTCTAAAAGGATTTTTTTCATAAGTGAAAGAGTTGATACCGGTGGTGGAGGTAAAGTTGTTGAATTGAAGAAATTGACAGGGAGATCATCAGGTGAGAAAAATGGTGCGTCGTAGTTAAGTCCATTCTGAAACTTTTGGAGTTCCAGGAATAGTTTTTGATCCAACAGTGATTTCATAAAGTCCTAATTTCTTGTATCTAGTATGCCAAAAATAAATGTAAGTTATTTAAGGAAAAGCCTGGCTTTTTTGACTTGATTCAGAGTACAATTTTGACAACTGTATTGTCTACTTTAGCATATAATGTTTTAAGTTAAAAACTAGGATTGTGAGAACAGTGCATTTGGGTTTTGTCTCAAGGAACTCTTGTCCCAAGGAACTCTTGTCCCAAGGAACTCTTGTCCCAAGGAACTCTTGTCCCAAGGAACTCTTGTCCCAAGGAACTCTTGTCCCAAGGAACTCTTGTCCCAAGGAACTCTTGTCCCAAGGAACTCTTGTCCCAAGGAACTCTTGTCCCAAGGAACTTTTGTCCCACTAAGAAAATTTTTGTTTTTTCTTTGCCTTTCTTTGTTCTCATGCATTTTTTTGTATTATACTTGTATTTTTAGATGTCTTCTCGCAAAGATCTATCAACTCCTGATAAGCAGAAGATTGTGCAAACCAAGAAAGATGGATATTCATCTATCTCGATGCTCTTCAATCTATCGCGATGCACTTCAAATGCAATAACAGGACAGTGAATCGACTAGCATCAAAATCAGAAGCAGGTGAAAGTCTTTAAAGGGCTTCGAAAAGTGCTCGTCCAGCGATTACAAGAAGAAATGAAGATCGAGCAATCATCATGGACCATAGAATCGATCCAAATCTGACTTCAAACCATGGAATCAAAAGTTGAAGGCCATTTCTAACAAAGATATTTTTCGATAGAGCATCAATAGGCGCTTGATTCGAGCAGGATTGTATGCAAGAAGACCAGCAAAGAGACCATATTGTATTGTTTACTTAAGCATCTAATGTTTTAAGTTAAAAACTAGGATTCTGGGTCGTCCCATAGAAGGGCAAGTGCGCTTGAGTTCACCTGTGAATTGCTTGTCCCGGGCATTGAATCCGGCGAATCGACGAGCAGTCCCGACTCTTCTCCATCCCCATATCCATTCACTTGTGCTTCGTTGATCAATTTGAGCAAATCCTCGTGAATTCCCTCTTTGACTTGATCGCCTTCGAATTCATCGTGCAAGTTGTATTCATTTTCGTCATCCTCGATCGTTTCTTTCTCTGGTTTCACTCGCCTCCTTGATGGCATTGTTCTGAAATTTTCATCAAGGTACCAAAATTGAAAGAAGAAAAAAGTAAAGCTTGATTAGATAGAGTTAGATTTTAAAATATCGGCTGTAACTTTAAAATATCGGCTTGTAAATATCGGCTGTAACTGGAACGTGGACCAAAATTACCGTTTTTCTTCGAATAGAAGACCGGGTAAAGAGTATCATCGCGTACTCCTGCGTAGCAGCCCTTTTTAAAATTTCTTTTCTGCATAAAAGCTTTCAATGAAGTGCTAAAGAGCTGGAAAATGACTCAAAAATACCACATGAGCTAACAGATTTTTGAGCCATTTTCCAGCTCTATAGCACTTGATTGAAAGCTTTTATGCAGAAAAGAAATTTTAAAAAGGGCTGCTACGCAGGAGTATACGATGATACTCTTTACCCGGTCTTCTATTCGAAGAAATACGGTATTTCTAAAGCACAATTTTCTTACAATTAGGTTAACTAAAAGAATGGTTCTTGAATAACAAAACTTTTGAATTTTGATTGTCCAAATAATCAAAATTCAGGACTACGATCGAGCATTGGCTTACTTGGATGTCCTCTTGGCGGTGGAGACTCACAATCGGCAAGCACGAGAGCTCAAAGAGATCATTGAGAAGAAAATGAAACGAGGTAAAGAAAACAGACATACAATGCTAGACAAAATTATAGGATCTTTACATTAGAAATTTATAAAGATGTAAAGGTAGTTTAACAGAAGATATGCTACTGAAACCAAGTTTTTCAAGCGTAAAAAGCTGATTTTGTCTTTTCTGGGGTAAAATATTAGGCTATCTGAATAATATTATCTGAATAATAAATAATATTAGGCTATCTGAACAACCTAATACTCTATTTGGTTTAAAAACTGTAGCATAGAAAATTCTAACTTTCAAGATGATAAAAAGTTTCGAAAAGCTTGAAAAGAAAAGCATAAAGTCTAGCATTTAGAATAGTATAATGCCAATTTTTGTGTTTGAGAGTAATTTCCCCAATCAATACCGCAAAATTGGCGGGGAAAGGAGGCCGAAAGGGCTGGCCGATTCGGGGATGTCCACCTGGTGCCCGCCTGTCACTTTTCATCTCTCATTTCTCTCAAATCCTCCAATCTCTTCACTTTTTTATTTCTTTCATTTTCTCAATTTCTTTGCTCTTTTTCTTTCTCTTTCACTTTTATCCATTTTTTTCTTTTTTTGAATCACGAAACTTTGCTAGGTTGAGAAACTAAGAAACTGTCTGTTTTCTGTGCTCAAATAGCTAATTTAGAACTCTTGTTAGAATTTAAAGTGATCAAACATTGTAGAATAAAGTTTATTCAACGCATCACTCTGTCAAAAGATCAGTTGCTCAAAAGATCATCCAATTTTTCTTTGAATTCTATTTCCCAAGATATTATTGACGTTTAGATCAGTGTTCGAGCCTAAACCTGAAAAGTAAATCTCAAAAGCATAGATTTTTGGTGAACTAATTAGGGACAGGCAAGCACTTGCCGTGGCCTTTTGAAAAGAGACCAAACCAAAAGGAAAAACAAAAAAGTTTGAAATGAGGGGAATCGAACCAGGACAAAAAAATCCGTGCCGAGCGTACTATCCCCCCGGCCACGCAGACACATTCTAAGGGATGGCGTAGAGACCCAAAATAGAGACTTGCTACCTTTTTCCGAGAAAATCCTGGATTGGTGCTTTAAAGCGTGGTAAAACTACCGTATCCCTCAAATTTGCGCGAAATTTCATTTATTTTCATTCTTGTTTATTTGCTTTTATTCTTTTTACGTTTTTTTTCCAAAGTTTCAACGTTTTTTCAACCAAAAAGTCACAAAAACAAAGCTTCCGCCATAGAAAATGATAAAGAACACTTAACTTAACATTAGCTGGCATCATGTTCGTGGAGCAGATCGTCGGGAAGCAAGTGGGTCTAAAAAAACTAAAAAACAAAGCTTCCGCCACAGAAAATGCTATTAAAAACGTAACTTAGTTTTATCCTCTTTGTTTCCTGCAAAAACAAACGCGACCACATCAGAAAAACGCAAAAAGAATAAAATGAAATGAACAAGAATGAAAAAAAAGAAATTTCGCGCAAACTAAGAAAGGTACGGTAATTTTACCACACTTTAAAGCGCCAAATGAGGATTTTCTCGAAAAAAGGTCGCAAGTAAATAGAGATCAAGAATTTGACCAGAACTAGTAAGCCAGATATCTTGTGTTACAGGCGTCGAGGACAAAAACTAAAAGCAGATTCGAACTCAGCGTGGCCGATTCTATAAGATGGGTTTGGTCTCGTTCCAAAAAGGCGACGACAAGTGCTTGCCTTTCCCTAGTAAGAATAACTAACGCTACAGTAGTTTATTGCTTGAGTTACTTAAGAATACAAGTGTCAAACAACTGTAATAGATAATTACCGCCATATTAATTGTATCCACTGTTATCGTTTATCGTTTCGACGATCGTCTCAGAGAAAGGCAGCGAATTTAAGAATGAGCTCAAAAGTTTAAACAAAACTATACTAATTAGCTCAACTAACCAACTTAACTAACTAATTTAACTAACTAATTAACTTAATGAAAACTTGTAACTTAATTTAGTGAAGCTTATAGATTAAGTACAGCATCTAGTACACGAAAAATCTCATCATCACTGAAAGTGTTAAGAGATTTTCTCCTCAAGTCTTTCTTTGTATAGTACTTTATATAGGTTTTTGAGTACTTATTGAATTTTGTTTTGGCGATATTTTGGCGATCGTTAAAAGGACGATGATTAGATTTAGAGTGCAGAAAAGTCTCAGGTCTCAGAAAAGAGAGAAGAGAGTGTTTCTGCTCTATCCATCCCATTGAAATCGAGAAGTTTAAATGAAAACAGAGTTTTTACTGTAATACTGAAAATGTTTGTATTATAGGGGTTGATAATTTGAAGTTAAAACACATACAATTAAACTAAACTTTTTAATTAAACTAACGATTTGTTTCGGGATCTTGTTGCCCTGCAATTCTAGCGCACTGAATGCCTGATTTTCTTACTAAAACGAGAAAGTGAGTGTGCTAGAAAGGATGCATTTCTATCTAGTTCACTTATTGGAATTACACCTCAAAGAGCAAGTATACTAAACTCATTGAGAGCCCCAATTCTCGGAAACCAAGTGAGACTTTGTTTTCAGAGACAATCCGACAAAGTCTGACACAGAAACTGGATCATTCACCAAAATAGAACCAGACAACGATGATTCGATCAAGTTTTACTGATCTTGAACTCAAGGTTGATTCAGTGAACCAACTCTTCGTAACCTTTAAAAGAAAACAAGTGTGTGTTTACGGGGCTAAAGACTTGTCTTGTTGTTTATTACTGAGAAAAGGGCAAGAATCTAGAAAAAAACAATTGGGATATAAAAGTGAGCGAATGAGATATTTCTCTCAACCGCTCTCACCGTACACAATGAAACTTTTTATCGCCGCGTTCTTCGTTTGCCTCATCGCCATGGCTGGGTTTGTGTTCTTTGCCTACTTAAACACACCTTTTTTGGCACATTTAATCCTTTAACTTTCTTGGAACTTGAAATCTTTTAGATCTTGAAACTTAACTGATTAATATGTTGCGTCCAATCTAGAGATCCGTCCGACCTAGACTGATTCTAGATAAGGCGTTTGACCTCATTTCACTCTAGATCGGACGCATTTCTAGGTCGGAGGTAACAAATATCCAGTGTGTTTGAGCACAAGAGAGTAATCTTCATTAAAGAAGTAACGAAAGGAATTTTTTTTCGAAATTGGCTGTTCCTTTCTTTAGCTAGCTTTTAAAATATCTTAACAAGAAGTCTATTTTTAAGAAAAGAATTACAGAGCCTTTCGAGAGACGATCTCTAAAACGATAGTTAGACCCGGATTTGGCGGAGGATTCGGCCGAGGATTTGGAGGCGGTGGATTCGGACGAGGTTTGTGTTGGGTTGAACGAAAAGTTCGTGCAGTTTTTTTGGGAGATCGTCGCAAACTCAATCAAATTGGACGTGTAATAGCTCATTCGAAAGCTAATTATCAAGCGGATTCAATCAAAAAAATCGCTTATTGTTTCATTACGTTTTAAAGCTTCTACAGCGGTTTTAGTAGAAGTGATCAGACCTTAAAAAGTGGAAAAAATAACGTTTCGTCAGTTTTTCTCTTAAAAATCTGTTTTTAGTGATCAGTGGCAAAAATTACCCCAAGAAAGCAAAAAAGTTAACAATTTGTCGCGACTCGAACCCACGGCCTTTCGCTTAGCGGGCAACCATGCTAACCATTACACCACAAGACCCTTGACCTCCCTTCCTCCAGGAGGGAGTTAAGTTCCCACCTCTCTGGACCAGCCGATTCCACACGTCTCGAATTATAGGTCTGGGGTGCACTCGAAACTAGGTATGAAGACCTTAGCCAGCATTGCAGAACCAATCCTTTCGGGGTCACCGCTTTCGGGGTTTGAAGCAATTTCGGGGAAACTGGGGTAGATAAAAAATTGAACCACGGCGGGACTCGAACCCACGACCTTTCGCCTACCGAACCACTGTGTTAACCATTACACCACGACCCACTTCGCCTCCCTTACTCCAGAGGGAGTTAACTATTCACAAGACGAGCCAATGCTTGGATTTGAATCTTTGAAGTAAAACATATTACAACTTTCTAAAAAACTTACAAAAACTATTGTATTCATTGTTTTAGGATTCGGTGGTGGACGTGGCTTTTTCAACCGTGGATTTGGCGGACGAGGAGGCTTCGGTTTCGGCAAATAAATCAAGTCTTTCAAGAGAAACAATTAGATTTTCGATGAATAAAGATTTAAAATTATTATTGGCTGCTAGTTTTATGTTAAAGATTTATTTTATTATATTATTTCTATTTGTTAGTCACAGCACAAAACACAAATGTGACAGGAACGATACTGTTTGATCACCTTGGTGATAAAAAACTTGCATTTGAAGGGCTTCAGTAGTTCAGCTTGTTGACGTCGTGATTGTGGACGTTGTTTCCATCGCAAAGATAAACCGAGCCGTAAATAAATTTTTGTCGAGATCTTAAACAAAATATATACCAAGAAATGGATAGCGTTTGCATTCCTTAGCTTCCTTAGCTTTAGGTGGTGAAAGGACTGGCGCGGGCGGAAGCGGCTTGTCCTTGCGCTCGAACATCAGTACGATCACGAACGGCTATAACAGTAAAATGAATGTGAAAGATTATGAGAATAATGTACTAAATGAAATGAAATTAAAACCTACTGCGACTTGATTTCCATACATATCTTCAACAGCGAATTTCAATTGAACCTCTTGTTGCCAGCGATACTTGTATAAACATAAGCTAATATATCAATTTTCAACAAGAAGTATCATGTTTATAAATTACGACAGGCAGAAAAACTTACTGTAATTAGGGACTCGGTTGCGTGGAAATTTGACCTTCACTTCATATTGTTGAAATTGTCCCTTGTTGAAAGTTTTCCATTCTCGTGGAGCAATGATCCAATTCGCGTCGCGAATCGCATCATCCGCATCAACGATCTCATGTGGCTTAATAGAATAATATTAATATATTAATAACACAATTCCACGAACCTGCATTCTCACACCAACGCCATGATTGTAAACTTTGAATACCAAGGTCTCTGATTCTCCGTCGTGGCCGTCGAGGTAAATACGTCGACGCTAAATTTTGAATTTAATGTCAAAATACTTTACAATTGTTACAATATTTTATGAGAACTGATCAAAGAACGAAATATCTAATAACATGTGATTTCTTACACGCGACCATAAATTTATAAAATAGGAAAAAAGGCTAAAAGGTTCCAATACGGTTCCAATACAGTTCCAATACGGTTCCTATTTTGATCTGATACGGTTCCAATACGGTTCCTATCTTGATCTAAAAGGTTCCAATACGGTTCCTATTTTGATCTAAAAGGCTCCAACACGGTTCCAATACGGTTCCTATTTTGAGCTAAAAGGCTCCCACACGGTTCCAATACGGTTCCTATTTTGAGCTAAAAGGTTTCAATACGGTTCCAATACGGTCCTTATTTGGTTCTGATACGGTTCCAATACGGTTCCTATTTTGATCTAAAAGGTTCCAATACGATTCTAATACGGTTCCAATACGGTTCCTAAAAATGAAAACTTTCAGTTCTTATTGAAAACCATAAACATTATCACCAAAATTAAAAAAAAACACTTACTTGATTCAGGTTTTCGTCTTTCGAAACGGTGAATTGCGATTCGTGAGGCGCTCACATCCTCGAAAAAATGATGAATTATGAATAACTAGTTTGGTTTATCTGTCAACCATAAATGCAAATTTGCTATTTTGGTAATCAAATTTTGTAAAGTAAATTTTTGTGATCTACCTCTTGTGATCTACCTCTTGTGATCTGACTGAAAACCGACATTTCGACACGTTGAAAATTACACTTCTATTTTCCTAAGCTATGACTCCGCACACCCGGAGACCTGACCGGGCACAGGCTATAGCCTGATTCACCAGCTCCGTGACGACTCATCTGAGCCTCCGGTCAGGTCTCCGGATGTAAGGAAGCCGTTTGACGATAGTCTCCCGACAAATATAGCAAACCGTCAGGTCCGTAGAACATACCTAAAGCTACCATTAGCTTCTTTCACAAAGTGCAATGTGCAAAATCGAAAATGCATGCAATGCAAAATAAAATGCAAAATGCTTTTTAGAACACCTTATTTGACGTTTATTTTACACGTTATTCAAACAATTTGTTTATTTGTTTGAGAGGAACACAGCCTAAGTGTAACTGTACTTGTTTCGTCTCCGCCTAAGAAAATTTTCTGAATCCATTACCTGGATTCACCGAATGAAGGGAATGAGTTGAGTGAAGATAGAGAGGACCTGAGGCCCGTTTCGCTGAAAGAACAAATTTGTTTCGCAAATATAAAACAAATTTAAATTAAAGTTAAAGTTTACTATTGTATTCTCCTATTTTAGTTTTTCTAATTCTAGTGGATCGGGTTTGTATTCGTTTCGAATACCCTGCCCAGCTATGCATTCGCTTTTTTCACGGCAGCCAACATTGGACCGCGAGCATTCGAAAAACAGACGAAGTGGACTTCTTGAAACTCAACCCAGCTGGTATTTCTCGAAATTCGACGATTATCCGAAGTTCCGGAAAGCATTGATACACTTTATTTTGAAAATCAGAAAATTCATTTATCACAATTTCAAAACAAAAATACGTGTTCAGCAATCAAAATATACCCAGATGCATCATAAAACCTATGCATAAACAGTTTGTATCAAATTTCATCGGGAAAGACACATTTCAAGCGTAAATCTCATTTGACAAATGGAAAAAAGCAAGCACAGATCATGTCATTTGGTCAAATGATGGGATAAATGCGTAAATCTGAAATAAATACAAAAGTACTGTACAATTTGAAAACGTTTAAGAAAGAATTAGTAAAATTATGGTTTAAATTCATGCAGCAAAGATCTATCTCGATTTTCGAAAGGCGGAAAGTGGAAAGCGTTTGGATCCAACTGTAACCAATCGGTGAGCCCCGGACGACTAACAGAACTAAAGTATTTGAATGCCGAAAATGTACTTTTATAATAAATCTACACATGTTAGTTGTCGATTGTAGTTTTCGTACATCAAGTTCGGCAGCCAATTGTAATGGAGTGCGGTCCTGTGTTGTGTTTTGTTCACCTATTCACCTACACTTCAGAAATTGAGGACAACTAAATTTATGATCAAAAATAATACGCACTTGGTTAGAATGTTTGGCAGTTACACGCATGAAGCTCTGATGCTTTCCAGTAATAGAATCTTCTCGAACGCCCTCAAGAAGTTCAGCACCACTAAAAGATAAACAATTAAAACATAAAATTCCTATTTAACTTTAATGATCGCAAAGGACCATGCCCAATCGTCCCGGAGAATGATCTTCTTTGACGCTAGCAGCTCGATTGCACATCACTTGGTTTAGAATTCGGCCTAGGCGAATAGCCTACATTTTGTCAGATAACCAGTATCTTAACATACCTACGTAGACAGGGTAAAGATACGGAGTAACGACGGGTTCTTCGTAGCGAAATGTGCTAATACCTTGGCCAGTTACCAATAATGCCCCGTCTCGAGCCGCTTGCAATGAAACTAATTTCACTTGAGAGGTATCCTGAAGTCCAATGGCTTGGCTTGCCAAGTCTTGCCTTTTGCACAGTTCTCATTTAAATGAAGAGTACCGAGGCACCAACACGTCCAGAGCACCAAATTGAGAATGAGCAATCAGCGTCTTTTGTGAGATTTCCCCTCAGATGGCGTTTCCGACAATCCATCGTCACCAACCACAGCGAATTGTTGCTCTAAAGCGGCCTTGTGCGCGGAAAACCATTGTAGGCGAGATTTTGGTTGGTGGCTCGACCGAAGACGTAGTTAAGAAGGTAGAGCGCCAAAACGAGCATCTCAAACTGCATTCGTACATTCTGCGTTACCGGATTAATGCAAGCAAAGCAACCAGAAGAATAACCCTCAAAAATCTCATCATCACTGAAAATGTTAGGAGATTTTCGCCTCAAGCCTTTCTTTGTATAGTACTTTATATAGGTATTTGAGTACTTATTGAATTTTGTTTTGGCGATATTTTGGCGATCGTTAAAAGGACGATGATTAGATTTAGAGTGCAGAAAAGTCTCAAGTCTCAGAAAAGAGTGATTTTTGCTCCATCCATCCCATTGAAATCGAGAAGTTTAAATGAAAACAGAGTTTTTACTGTAATACTGCAAATGTTTGTATTATAGGGGTTGATAATTTGAAGTTAAAACACACACAATTAAACTAAACTTTTTAATTAAAATAACGATTTGTTTCAGGATCTTGTTGCGCTGCAATTCTAGTGCACGGAATGCCTGATTTTCTTACTAAAACGAGAAAGTGAGTGTGCTAGAAAGGATGCATTTCTATCTAGTTCACTTATTAGAATTACACCTCAAAGAGCAAGTATACTGAACTCATTGAGAGCCCCAATTCTCGGAACGCAAGTGAGACTTTGTTTTCCGAGACAATCCGACAAAATCTGACACAGAAACCGGATCATTCACCAAAATAGACCCAGACAACGATGATCTGATCAATTTTTTGCTGATCTCGAACTCAAGATTGATTTAGTGAACCAACTCTTCATAACCTTCTTCATACCTTTAAAAGAAAATAAGTGGATGTTTACGGGACTAAAGACCTGTTTTGTTGTTTATTACTGTGAAAAGGGCAAGAATCTAAAAAAAAGAATTGGGATATAAAAGTGAGCGAATGAGAGATTTCTCTCAACCGTTCCCACCGTACATAATGAAACTTTTCCTCATCTTCGCGTTCTTCCTTTGCCTCATCGCCTCGGCTGGGTGGGTGTTCTTTGCCTACTTAAACACACCTTTTTTGGCACATTTAATCCTTAAACTTTTTGGGATCTTGAAATCTTTTAAATCTTGAAACTTAACTGAAAACTGAAACTAATTAATATGTTACGTCCAATCGAGAAATCCGTCCTAGAAATCCGATCTAGACTAACTCTAGATCGATCTAAAGTGAAGTGCGGTTAAACGTCCAATCTAGAATCAAGCCGATTACTCCAAATCTAAGTCTGGATCGGATGTCTGATTTAGAGTGATTGGCTTGATCCTAGATCCGACGTTTGACCTCACTTCACGCTAGATCGGACGGATTTCTAGGTCGGACGTAACAAATAGACTAGAAACAGTGTGTTTGAGAACAAGAAGGTACCCTTCATTGAAGAAATTTTTTTCGAAATTGGCTCTTCCTTTCTTTAGCTAGGCTTTAAAATATCTTAATAAGAAGTCTATTTTTAAGAAAAGAATTACAGGGCCTTTCGAGCGACGTTCACTAAAACGATAGTTAGAGGCGGAGGCGGTGGACGAGGTTTGTATTGGGTTGAACATAAAATTCGTGCAGTTTTTTTGGGAGATCGTCGCAAACTCAATCAAATTAGACGTGTAATAGCTCATTCGAAAGCTAATTATCAAGCGGATTCAATCAAAAAAACCACTTATTTTTTCATTACGTTTTAAAGTTCTTACAGAAGTTTTAGTAGAAGTGATCAGACCCTAAAAAGTGGAAAAAATAACGTTTCGTCAGTTTTTCTCTTAAAAATCTAGGCTAAAACATGTTTTTCGTGATCGTGATTTCGTGAAATTACCCGAAGAAATTACCCCAAGAAGAAAAACGTTTTTGAAAGCAAAAAAAGTGAGCATTTTGTCACGAACGGGACTCGAACCCCCGACCTTTCGCTTAGCCAGCAACCATGTTAACCATTACACCACAAGACCCTTGACCTCCCTTCCTCCAGGAGGGAGTTAAGTTCCCACCTCTCTGGACCAGCCGGTTCCACATGTCTTGATTTATTGGTCTGGGGTGCGCTCGAAACTAGGTATGAAGACCTTAGCCAGCATTGCAGAACCAATCCTTCCCTGGTCGCCAGTTGGAACTAGGGCAAATCAAAAACTTGCGCCCCGCCGGGACTCGAACCCGCGACCTTTCGCTTACCGTGCCACTGTGTTAACCATTACACCACAACCCACTTCGCCGCCCTTACTCCAGAGGGAGTTAACTATTCACAAGACGAGCCAATGCTTGGATTTGAATCTTTGAAGTAAAACATATTACAACTTTCTACAAAACTTACAAAAACTATTGTATTCATTGTTTTAGGATTCGGTGGCGGACGTGGCTTTTTCAACCGTGGATTTGGCGGACGAGGTTTCGGCAAATAAATCAAGTCTTTCAAGAGAAGCAATTAGATTTTCGATAAATAGAGATTTACAATTATTATTGGCTGCTAGTTTTTATGTTAAGGGTTTATTTTCCGGTTTCATAGTCCGGTTTCATAGATAAACTTTATCGACACATAGATACACGTTAGAAAATCACAAACAATTGAAAATAAAGCAGAATAATTAAGGATTTGAGTATTAAGAATAATCAAGTATCGACCTTTTCAGTGTCACCAAACTTCTGCAAAATGTAGTTACAAAACTCGGTGGGATTTGTCGAAAGCAAGTTGAGCTCGTCTTGGGTCATCGACTCATTTTGGGCGGGTTGGGTGTTATCTAAAAATTGTTTCGATTAATAAAAAGATAATAGTTGTAGTATTTCGTGTAGATAATAGTGTAGAGCAGTTGTAATACTTTTCTGACTGTTTTCCTAACTTTACATTTCAGATAACTCACTAAAATATCCAAAAAAAAGAATGGCAAGGACTCCTTTGCTGCTCCAGCTGGCCAAAACTCTTGAATGTTCCTTAGAATTGCTTCAAATGGATCTTCTTTCTCCGATAATCCCATTCTCCAAAGCCCTTCCGCAATATAGGAATCAGAAATGGATCCATTTGAATCCCGCTTTCTGACAATACTCTCAAAAGGCTTCCACATTTCCTCTATGACTTCAGTGTTCAGTTTCGCATCTTTTGAGCAATTGCCATAGCTCACCCAGTTAAAGGAGTAATCCGAATGATTTGCCAAATCTTTATAGGCTGACCAACCATCAGAAACAATTCTTGATCCACGCTTTATACAAGATTCGATAACATTCATGAGTGTTAATATCTCTCGATTTGGTAACAAAAGCGCAAAAGTCTCCTTTGTCTCTTTGCATATTCCACCGAGAAACCATTTCTCTCCAGAAATCCCCGCTTCTTGAATTTTTGGCTTTGTTACGAGAATTTCTTCTATTTCTATCGTTTTCCCGGGTCCTCCAATCTTCAAATTAACTCCATTTGCCACTTTCCACGCACAAACTTGTCGCAAAGAGTTTCTCCAATCGAGGATTGTCGATTGCCTCAAACCAAGCTTACTTTCAAGGGATTTCACCGAATATTTCCCGGTACTCCATAAAAAGATAAAGCGTAGTGCAACAACGAATTTGATTCTCGATTGCTCGAAAAAGTTGTTGCAGCGAATTCCCTTGTGCCCGCCGTCAATTCTCTTCTCAACACAACGAGCACACTCCCAACGATAGACATCTTTTCCCTTCGAGGTGAGTCTCATCGGATGTCCCAAACCGCACACCCAGTCTTGGATTATTCCTCGATCGATGAGGAATTGAATCGACTCTTTTTCGGTGTACTTCTCCAAGTCGGTGTACTTCCAGACTAAAATGAGGAAGTGATGTTATAGCGGCGAGAATTGGGACTCTTTCTGAATTCTTGTCAACTCCCACCTAATCTCAATCCATTAAAGCTACCGTAAATCTATATTTACTCTACTAGTACTGTGCCTCGAATAGCACTGCACGTTCGGGGTAGATCGAAAAACATAGTACTGCACGCAAGTTTGCATTTATCCAAAGTTAATTTCCATTTTTGGGTATTTAGTAGCCCACTTCTTTGCTAATTAAGTGAATGTGTTCCAGCCTGTTGGCTCAATAGAGTAAATGATCATGTTTGAAACATTGTTTTTGATGATTCGAATGTTTCAGTCTTTGATCTACAATTGTTACTTCTCATGTTTACTGTTTTCTACTTTGGTACTATTCTGTGATACATCCTGTTTTATGTACCCAGTTTAGACTACTTGAAAAATCCTGTATTTAGATTAAGCTTAAGATATGTTTAGGCTATAGTCTTGGACCTAGTATAGATTAGATTAGATAAACGTATGCATCAAGCAGATAAAGCAATATGATAAATCCAAAATAGTTACCGTAAATACTGTAATAGTACCCCACCCCTCTCGTACAGTCGCGTAGTCGCAAGTTTTTTAGTATTTCATTTTTTTCAAAGCGCCCGTACTTTCAAAAAATGCGTCTTTGGTATAAAAAAATAGCCCTCAATTTCAGCTATTTTTTGATACCTAAGCGCACATTGTAGCCTAAACCAGTGTTGAGAAAAACTCGTTTAAAGCTAGAATACGCATTGTAGGGGTGGGGTACTATTACAGTATTTACGGTAGGTCAATTGGAATGGGGATGTATAACAGGATAGTACCTCTACTTTTTATGTTTGATGTGTTGTTATCTTAATAAAATTAAAATAATATGTCTGTCTGTCTGTCTGCCTGTCTGTCTGCCTGTCTGTCTGTCTGTCTACCTGTTTGCCTGTCTGTTTCGACTACGTTAGAGAAAGTTAGACTACGCGACTGTACGCCCGTCATTATGAGGGTGGCGTTCTATTAGAGTATTTACGTTATTTACAGATCATTTCCTTGTACTAACCTTCGTTAGGACCCATATCGAGATCCAACTGTGGCATATCATCATCACCATCAAACTCCATCTCATCGGGCTCCTTTTTCGGAAGACTTTTCTGAGAAAGCTTCAACTAAAGTTGATTTATTTGCTATTTTTTTCAACTATAGTTATTCCATTCTTTAAACAAACCAATTTCTCTGTGGGATTTTCATTTGCTAAATTTGAAGCTGAGAATTGTGGCTTTGGGGCTGCCGGTTGAGCGTAAGCCGTTTTGATGTTGTGTCGCTCCAAAAATTTCTCCAACCACCCGCTGCTTGCCTAGAATTCATTGTTTAAATGCCTAGAATTTATTGTTTAAATCAGCTGATTTAAAAGGAATTGAACTTGTTTATGAAATAATCGATTGGTTTGACTTTTAACTAAAGCCAAATTAACTAAAGCCTTACCTGGAAAGTCGCATCTTTATATCCGCCTTGTTGAAACATGTGTTCAGCTTTCATTTGTATCATTCTTCTTGAGACGTATTTCCCTTTTCTCATTTCTCCTTTTACCCAATCGGCCAACTCATTGTCGAGCTTCGGAAAACTTCGATGTCGTCCACCGCCTTTTAATCGTTTCGCATTTGTACTTCTGAAAATTTAGATTTTAAATTCAGCTACCTATGTTTTGTATTGCTATCATTTGTGATTATAATTTTTTTAAACTTACTGCATGCTGAGCAACTCGTTCTCTTGCATCACCCATCTTTGAATCAACGCTCGACAGACGCCGAATCGTCGACCCGCCGCGTTTTTCGAGTGAGCCTTTGCGAATCGAACCGCTTGCAACTTGAACTCGACGTCAAAGGCTCGCCGTTTTTGGTTTCCCTGAAATTTGCCGGGGTTTTTTTTACTCAATGTTGAAGCTTACTAGTAGTTGAAGCTTACTGGTAGTTGAAGCTTACTGGTAGTTGAAGCTTACTAGTAGTTGAAGCTTACTAGTAGCTTCGGTACTAATAAAGTTCGGGAAAACCACTTTTCTCTGATTTGGTCAGATCGTTTTTCGTTATTTCATTTTTTCTGGGGTAATCAAACAGGCTTAAGCTTTTTGTGATATTTTTAGAAAGTTTTAAACAATCTTTACTAATCTTTTGCTAAGCTAGCTGAAGTATAATTGTTGCAGTGCCGCAAAGCTTTAAAATGAGGCCAAGGGTGAAGCACAAAGTGCAAACTTATTCAAAAACACTCTAAAATATCATAAATAGATTAAGCATATTTGATTACCCCAGAAAAGACAAAACCAGACAAAACCAAAAGCAAAAAACGCATAAAATAGGTTCTGACCGGGTCATGTCAAAGTGCTCTCCAAACTTTATTATTGCCATAGCTTCTATTAATAAATCTTTATAATAGTGAATAGTTTATAATAATCGTTATCCTTATAATAATAGTTAGTCGTAAATAGATTTCGGCTAAATTGAATTAACGGCTAAATTAACGGAGCCAAAACACATTCAAAACCAGTTTTTATACTTTACTATGCCTAGTTATGCAAGAAAAAACACCAAATGAGGGGGAAAATTTTTAAACCAAAGAAATTCGACTTTTTTTCTGACCTTCTAACCTTTCTAACCTTGGACCGTAAAGTTCAAATTAGCCTAGATTTCTTGTAAACTTACATTTGACGGAAGTGGAGACTGTAAATCACTAGAACTCGTCGAGGCTTCTTGTTCAAGTGTCGGCATTACGGTTTTCTCAAAGTGATACTCCGCTTTCAGCTCGTTTTTCAACAAATCCTCCACTTTGATTTCATCGTTGAGATATTCCTCGACATTGAATTCATCAGTCAATTGATCTTCATCCAATTCCTCTTGTTTTATGTCGTGAACATTATTTTGTAGCTGATTGAGGAGATCTTCGAGAGTGGTTGGCGGGAAATCCATGTTGTTTGGGGTTGAGGGAAATCAATTTTGAATAGAAAAAGTTAAGTTTTAAAGAACGAATCCAGAAAATTTGGCTTTACCAGCAGAAGTATCGATTTTTCTCTAATAGAAGCCTTTTTCTACGGTTTCTTTCTGCCAATGGCGAGCAGACTACAATCTTTATAATTGTCACTTGCGTGGATTATGGTAAAAAGAGCGCGCAATAAAGGATTCATGCAACAATTGAATATGAAAAGATTGGGAAAAAAAAGCCAAATAAAATGCCTATTAAATAAAAGAAACTGCCGTTTTTATGATATTCAGTTGAACAACTGAATATCTTTTTATTTTTCTATATTTAAGCTATTTGAGCTAGCTGATTTTTTATTTGCGATCCGTTTGCTGGGTTCGTTTGACTACATTTTCTGCAAGTTCTTGTAATGTTTGTTAGTTTAAGCCTACGCATAAATGTTATCCAAGCGTTTTATTGTAATCGGTTAGTGGATATACTTTAAGCTTAATTGTTAGCATGTAAAGTTGCAAGTAATCCTCTAAAAGTTAACAGAATTTTAAACGTTTGCCCCGTTTTCTGTGATCTTTACGCTTATTTTTTAATTTTTTTCTTTAATACTTTAATTTTTTTAGATGCGGATCAATCAGGAGACAAAAATTGAAGGAGACGGTATCGGGCTTTATCCCTATCAAGCGAGATTTGTCGACAATTACAATAAATGGATGCAGGTTTGAGATTTCGGCTGAGCTTCTAGAAAATGGTTGATTGGTATCCATTTTAAGTTTTTAAATGGTAGATTTAATAAAATTTTTTTAATTTGATTGATTTAATTTGTTTTGACGCTTACAGAAGTAAAATTATATTGACTTGCAACTCTTCAAGTTAATATAATTTTACGCAATAAATCTGGGACTTGTTGGTACTTTAGTGGTTAGGAGGGACCACTTTTATCACTGGCTTAGTTGGATCTTATGTTTTGAGTAGTTGTATTGATACCTTTTATCTATTCTAGGGTAATCAAACATGCTTAGTAGCTTGGTGACTATTTTAGCAAGTTTTTGGCAATTTTAGCCTAATCTCATGTAATTTAACCACCAAACGTTACCTCGAAGCTGCTTACACTTGAAAGTCAAATAAAAGCGGCAATATGAAACTTGCAACATGTTGTAAATGCTCTAAAAGTGTAAGTATATTTGATTACTCTAGAATAGGTAAATAAAAGATATCAATACAACCACTCAAAGCATTAGATCCAACTAAGCCAGGATAAAAGTGGCCCCTCCCAACCACCAAAGTACCGGCTTGTTTAATTATAAAATTACAGTTGCATTTTGATTTAGGATGAAGAGCTACAGGCTGCAACGTGCTCGGAACCGCTGACGATTGAGGAAGAGTATGAAATGCAAAGGAAGTGGGCTGAAGACGAGGATAAGCTGACCTTCATCATTGTGGATCGAGACAAAGTATTGGAAGGGGACCCAGTATGTTAACTTTTTTTATTAAGAAACCTTGTCAAGCTCATTGACATGAAAAACATCATTGGTGAATTAAATACATTATTCCTCTTTAGACTGAGGCGATGGTGGGTGATGTGAATCTCTTTCTGGATCATGAGACAAAAACGGCCGAATGCGAGGTGATGATTGCTGCCAAAGATGCTAGAAGAAAGGTAGTTTTAAATAAATAAATACTTGCGCTTTAAAGAATTAGAAATGTTAGAAATCTATAAATTCATAGTATGAAAATTAAAACTTGCTGGAGTAACTTAACAATTTTGAACTTTGTTTTTGACCTTTTTAGCACATGTGCTAAAAAGTTTAATTGTATTTTCTTTAGGGTTTCGCTCTCGAGGCAATGACGCTGATGATCGGCTACGGGATTCGATTTGTGAAGGTGGAGAATTTCTTCGCGGTGATCACCGAGGACAATCAGCGAAGCATGGCTCTCTTCGAAAAACTCGGATTCGTACAAAGTGATTACATATCTGTCTTCAAACAATACAAATACAAGCTACCAAATGATCGACTTGATGAGTTTGTTCAACGATTGGATAAAGCTAATATCAAAAATCTGGATGCTGCTTAGATTTTATCATATAAGTTGGCTAGCATTTTCTATTCTTCATTTTGTGATCATGTACATATTGTTTTCAGAAATAATATAAAAGCTATTAATAATGACAAATCACACTATTTCAGTGACAAATGCAACTGCACAAATTGGTAAAAGTAAATTAAAGCAGCAATGATTTTGTTTGCAGAAAACACGATTTCTATAAAATTTTAGCAACCTTTGGTTTTTCATAATTCACACAGATTTCATAAAGGAAAATCACTTTTTGAATCATTGCCCAATTCATTAACACGTGGTTGTGAAACAAACAGCCAACGAGATTTTAGATGGATTTTTCTGCGTTATTTTGCTGTTCAAGGCTGAGCAAATATCTGACTTTTACAGAATCCCGTAGAATGGCATTTCTCTCGCAGTTCGATGGTGAAACCAAATCAGAAAATGGGCATCTTCTGGCTATTATTATTGATTTATGGTAATTTAGAATATTTCAACGATTGAACGTTATTTTGAACAAAATTTAGCTGCCAAAGCTCAACTCCAATGTCAACAAGGCTCAACTCCTTTGCTCCAAAACAATCAGCCGGTCGTCTGCAATCCTCAGGTATCTTAGAAACTGAATTTCTAATTTTTTAGCGAAAGCGAAAGTTTGTCGATTGAATAGTTCATTTTGGTGTACTGTAGAGTGACTTTACAGTAAAAGACATTGCTTTGTTAACATCATAGATTACAGGTATCGACATCATGTTCCTCCATCCAATCTGGTTTCTTCTGCCAAATGTCAACGAGTGGAAACAATTTCATTTGCTGTGGGACCGGTAACTCAGGTATGGTCAAGATTCTTCTACTAATAGAAAAATATTAATGGCTGAAAGTTGTAGACACGCTGGTTACTTACATGATGACCGCGAATTATAGCGACAACTTTTTGGAAAGTATCTGGCAAATGCCTAACTTATTTTAGAAGTGTCAAGTGTTATATAGAGAATTGTAGCCCTAGTTCTCGGCAATATTGTTCTACCAAAAACTTCCCTATTGGACTTATACAACTCATTTAATGAGCTTGAATGAGCTCTAAGCGGCCCCTCTTCGGCGATCTGCCATTTTTCACGACTTTCTACCTTGAAAATTTCATTCGGAAAAGTTTTTTCACTCAAATTTGTGGTAATTTTATCCAAAAGGTGTTGTTTTCAACAAATTTATAGCGTCAGAACGTTGTATTGAACTGTAATTCCCAAGGCAATGGCTAGTCCCAAACTGTACTTTAACTTTCAGGTGGCACAATTCAAATCGGTGGTCAGTGTTCCTTCGGCACGACACAATGCGCTGGTACAATAAAGTGTGTTAAAAAAATTAAATGAACAATATTAAAGGTGGATCGACCTGTCTGAATGGTCAATGTCAATGCCAACAGGGTACCATGCAATCGAACGGTCAATGTATTCAGGGACAAAGCAATTGTGGAGTGGGACAGGTGAGCTAAATAGCTGCCGTATTCTTGTTGCAACGGTTAATTCAGCAGTTCCATAATCTTGTACGGTATACAATTTCTAGGTCAGCGTCAACGGGATTTGCATGCAAGCATCGTTCCTTGGTGGTCAATGCCAAGGAAATCAACAGTGCCCGTTAAATTCTCAATGCTTGAACGGAATCTGCAATTGTAATTCTGGGTTTGTTGGCGAATTTGAAAAGTTGACCTTTGAAATCTCAAGTTCATTTTGCTTTTCAGCTTTCAAGTGTCCAATAATCAATGCGTTAATAATGGTAATGGTAATCAAGGTGGATGCCAGAATGGACAGGTAAAAGATACTCAAGGAGCTACTGTATTGTGGCGAATTGAATTAAAACAGGCTGGAAATTCAAGTAGTGTAGGTGAATGTGAATGGACAATGTATGCAACAGTCTTCTCTTGGAGGTCAATGTCAAGCAAATCAACAGTGTCCATTGAATGCCCAATGTCCACAAGGGACTTGCACATGTTTGAATGGGTTTGAGAAGTGATTTTAATCTCTAAAATCTCTATTTTTAGATTTACGAATTCAAATGGCCAATGTCTTTCGAACAATAACAATAATAATGGTGGCTGCGCTTTTGGGCAGGTAGGTCGGACGAAAACCTGGGTGAACGGGGTTTTGAGGTTGAAAAAAATCAGCTTTAGCTAAAAAGGAAGCTAATTTGAATCCAGAGTGTCACCACTGCTAAATTTAGCAAAATTTAGCAAATTTGCAAACTTTTTTGGTGCAGACTTTTGGTAGATCTCGAGTTTTGCTAAATTTAGCAAACTTCCGCTTTTCAAACTTTAACGGATCTACCAACGCATTTAGCAAGTTTGGATTTAGCTAAATAGCTAAATTTAACAGTGCCGCCAGCTCCGAAAAACATTTATAGCTCTGCTCTGAACAAAGGTTTAAAAAATAATAATCACAGATTCGAACTTCAACATACTTTGGCTACAAAACAAGCCAAAATTTAGCCAATTTTGACCATATGAACTTATTTTAGCTTTAGATGGCAGCATCAGAATATTCAGTCTACATGAAAGAAAACTCAATTTGGCTGAATTTAGCAAAATTGTTTTGGTATTTAGCATTTACCAATTTAGCAAAATCAAGCAAAGTTGCTAAGAGCTAAACTGCTAAATCCGTTTAGCAAAAATTGCTAGATGGTAAATTGGTAAATGCTAGCTGGTAAATGCTAGCTAGATGGTAAATGCTAGCTGGTAAATGGTCAATAGTTTGGTGAATCTGAGCCCTGATAATCAATTTTCAGGTAAATGTTAACGGGCAATGTATGCAGCAGTCTTCTCTCGGTGGTCAATGTCAAGCAAATCAGCAATGCCCCGTGAATGCCCAATGTCCACAAGGGATTTGCACATGTTTAAATGGGTTTGGGAAAAGGGATAACTCCGAAATCAACTGAAATTTAGATTCACAAACTCAAATGGACAATGCCTTTCGAATAACAACAATAACAATGGTGGTTGCTCGTTCGGTCAAGTGAGTCAGAAAGGAAAATGGGAGAAAATTTTAGGAATTCTTATTGTCAACTGGCTAGATTACAGTATCTTTATAACTGACTTTAACTTATAAACAACCCTTAGGTTAACTGAATTAAAACAGGCTGCTAATTCAAGTTCTGTAGGTGAATGTGAATGGACAATGTATGCAACAGTCTTCTCTTGGAGGTCAATGTCAAGCAAATCAACAGTGTCCATTGAATGCCCAATGTCCACAAGGGACGTGCACATGTTTGAATGGGTTTGAGAAGCGATTTTAATCTCTAAAACTATTTTTAGATTTACCAATTCAAATGGCCAATGTCTTTCGAACAATAACAATAATAATGGATGCTCGTTTGGTCAGGTCTGGTAGCAAAACGTAGGCCAGAAAGTCTTGTCGACCTTTTTGAAGTCTTGTCGACCTTTTTGAAGTCTTGTCGACCTTTTTGAAGTCTTGTCGACCTTTTTGAAGTCTTGTCGACCTTTTTGAAGTCTTGTCGACCTTTTTGAAGTCTTGTCGACCTTTCTCCTTTATAAATGAATGATTAGCCGATAAACGTGTACTTTGCTTTAAATAAAGAAGATTAACTATTACATTTAGCTTATTTTTAGGCAGATTTGAGTCCTTTTTTGAAGCAAATCTGAACAGGATTGTTCAGGATTCCGAGCAAAATTCTTGTTTTTCCTAAAATCTTCACAATGGACATAGAATGAAAATCGCTTAGTGAAATGTTATGGAAATTTGTCTATCTGCCTAACTTTTCATTCTCTATCTTTTTTCTTTTGACACCAAAATAGGTTTCTGTGACAAAAAGTGGTCAAATCTGTGAGTTTCATCGTTTTTGACTACTTGACTTCACACCTTTAAAAATATTAACTAACACCATCTTTTCAGAATTTCTTAAAGAACAATTTGTAAATAAATAATAGGACTTTCTGATAAAACAAACTATGGATTGATTGGCTAATTATTTATTTCAAAAAGTAACCTTTAAAAAAAGCGGACAAGACTTTCCGGTCAATCTAATATTAGATAATGATTTCTCAGGTGTTGATCAATGGTCAGTGCATGAATACGGTGCCAATTGGAAGCTCTTGTCAAGTGGCACAACAATGTCAGCAAGGTACTTGTCTGAATGGAATCTGCAGCCTCAACGGTAATCAACAATCGTCTACTTGCCCACAGGGACAGGCAAGTTTTGGCAAAATAGTCCAAAGAAGTCTTGGCTTACTTTGTGCTTAAATGGCACTTTTTCTGGAACCTTAAATGACACTTTTCCTTAAATGGCCTTAAATGGCAAATTTCGTCAAAGGATTGACTGTGCCAGGAGTCGGGCTTTTCAATTTTTAGCGCACAAACAATTATCAAGGTATAAAACTCAAGTTTCAGGCGCTTATCAACAATCAATGCTACCTGAATGCTCAAATTGGCTCATCGTGCACTTTCAGTCAAGTGTGTTTCAACGGTGAATCAAAAAATCGAAACTTTCAGCAATGTTTGGGCAACTCGCAATGCAATGGAACTTGTCAGTGCACAAGTGGACAGATGAACGTCGGAGGAATTTGCTCGAATAATGGAAATCGTGGGTTTCTGCGCCCAACCTGTTTGGTCTTTGTTCTCTATTCTGTAATAAAGTTCATGTGAATGTGTTAAATGAAATTTGGCAGGCAGATAGGCAGACGGGCAGACAGACGGGCAGACAGACGGGCAGACAGGCAGGCAGGCAGGCAGATAGACAGACAGATAGATATACAGACAGACAGACAGGCAGGTAGACAGAACAGGCAGACAAACAAACAGACAAAGACAAGTAATTTCACCGTAGTTTTGACTCTAATCTAGCGAATCAAGTTGCTAAAACACCAGAAAATCAGAAAATTTCGTATTGATGCTCAAGAAGTTGATTCGTATTGATGCTATTCTAATGTCGCATTTTCAGAAACACCGCCAATTTTCACGTGCACTAAAGCCGGCTACAATCCTGCGTTAGTCAACAATCAACCGGTGAATTGCATGACGGATCGTTGTCCCGATCAGTACAACAGTATTTGTGAGTTCAATATGCAGGTTTGTAGAAAAAAAAACTAATAGAAATAGCCAGAATTTTAGGCAGGATTCTACATCTGTTGCACGAAAAACACGGGAAGAAAATAATAAATATGTTATAAATGCAAATTTTTCAAACTTTATGAGCTTCTGAAGAAGGCAAACCCAACCAAAAAGTCTTTAAATGTTTGTCCTTTAATTTAAAGCCCAGAAAATTTATTGTAACCAATTTCAATTAACAATTTAACAAGATAATCATTGTAAGTGAGGTAGAGGCGAGCTTTAAATCAAATCAAAAGTCAAACTTTCTTCGATTTCTTGCTTGGAACCGGGCAATCGGTGTCATTGGAAGAACTGTCATTGCTTCGTTTCTTGTGTTCTTCTGAAAAGTGTTTATTAGCAGCAAAACTAGTAGTCAAATAGTTAGCTTAAAGTTAGCTTAAAATATCCGGGCTTTATGACTTTCTTTGTGGTTTTATCTTTCACAAAAAACAATGAATAGTTTAGACGTGAATCGAAATTTCGTCCATGGAAGAGAGCATTCTTTTGCTCTTTTTTTCCCCGCTCCTCCTCTTCTTCCAGCCTTAATTCTTCACTTTCTCGTTTTTAGAACAATTTGTTAAAGAAAAAGAAATGAGAATCGAACCCTCCACTTTCTAGACTTCGACGTGCTTGTAAGCAGACGCTCTAACCACTGAATTACTGCCAGTTTGATCAGAAAGAAGGCAGATAGGCACACCATCCTTTCTCCGTCTCTCTTCTCTTTTCTCTTTTTTCGTTTTTAAAATAATTCATTAACGAAAAAGAGTCGAGAAGAACCTCGACGTTTTGCTCTAACCGCAGACGACAGGCAAACGCTCTAACCACTGAGCTACAGTCACTTTGCTAGCCGACGAAAAAGAAGGCAAATAGAAGGCACCCCTCCTTTCATCCCCCTCTCTTCACTTTTTCTCTTTGAAAAAATCTCACAGGAAAAGCACCAAGAAGAATTGAATCTTCGACCTTCTGCTCTAACCGCAGATGGCAGGCAACCACTGAGCCTACAGCTGCTTTGAAGAATGCAGATAGGCACACCATCCTTTCTCCGTTTCTCTTCTCTTTTCTCTTTTTTGGTTTTTAAAATAATTCATTAAAGAAAAAGAGTCGAGAAGAACCGAACTCTCGACATTCTGCTCTAACCGCAGATGGCAGGCAGACGCTCTAACCACTGATCTGCAGCCGCTTTTATCTCCGGAAGGCCTTCTGCCTTTAAAACGAAGGCAGAAGAGAAGAGGAAACGAAAGAGCAGGCTTCAAAGTCTTCATTCGAAAGAATTAGCGTAGAAACTGGTAGCATTGTTTTGTTTATTGTTTTTGGTGTTCAAGGTCATTTATTTTGTGTTCAATGTTCTTGGGAAACATTCTTGAAGCAACCGACCTATCTGTTTCAGCGTTTTCCCTGATGCAAACAGTTCGGCTTCCTCTTTATTGTCGAATTTCTTGAATTTGGCACCGCGGAAGCCATCCGTTTGCTCTTTGCATTCAGCCCATGTTGAGAAACTGGAATTTGATATTGGCAAAAGGCTACTTGGCTAAAGAATCTTTGGAAAATTCTTAAAAACTAATTTTACATCCTGTTTCTAAACCCACACTCCACTCTTGTGTCCTCGAGCGACTGCATAGAAAACTTCTGCATTCGATGTTTCGGCAGACTTTGTTTCTTTCGATTTCTTGGATTCTTCCTTTACGGCGCCTAAAAGACTTTATTGATTTGAAAATATGATATTTCAAATCAAAATCAGCACTTATCTCTTTTACTTATCTTTGGGGATCCCCAAAGTGAACCCACATATATTAAGGTAATTTTAGAGCTCACTAGTGAGAGGCATGAACTCAAAACAAAAAAACGATGAAATATACGATAGAAAATAAAAAGAAAACAACGAAATCAAGCATTGGAATACCAAAATAAACAAAAAAGCCAAGGATTTAGCTGCAAAAAGGATCGAACTCGAGCAAAGGGATGCCCAGGTCAGTCCCAGTACAATCCCCTTATCCACTGCACCACTAAGGCACCACTAAGCGTGCACCACTAAGCGTGCACCACTAAGCGTGCACCACTAAGCGTGCACCACTAAGCGTGCACCACTAAGCGTGCACCACAAGCGACCACTAAGCGGCACCACAGGACCACACGCGTGCACCACGCAGGGCACCACTAAGCGCACCACGTGACCAAGGTGCACCACCAGGCGGGGCACCACTAAGCGTGCCCAGCGGCACCACCTAAGCGAGGGTCTAGATGCCTCAAATAGCCTCGAGTGTCTGAATGCCTCAAGCCTTTTGGCCAAATATCCTGCGTTACAGGAATCGAGGGCAAAAACTAAAAACGGCATCGGATTCCCCGTGAAATTCTCTACAAAATGGTCTGGGTTCGGTTTTGAAAGGCCATGCCTCTCCCTAGTTAGTTCACCTTTTCCTTCGGCAAACTTCAAATAGTACTCGTGCGCTTCGGCGAAAGTTGAGAACTTTTTCTGGAGTGCTTGTGGATAGTCAGCAATCTAGGCTTTACTTTAGCGAAAGATTTTCTTCTGAACAAACCGATTTCTTCACTTCATCATATTCGACAAAAACTCCAATAGTTTTGCCTCGAGCTACCGCGTAAAATGTGGAGGCTTTTGTGTCTTCTGGGACAACTGAAACAGTTATCTTAAAGGTTTTCTTAAAGGTCGAACTCTGTGCAAATTTTTCGCGTAAATCTTTTGAATATAAAGTCTCTAAAGAACAAGTTGTGCACTAGCAATGCCCATTAATTAGTTGTGCAAGTTGTGCACTAACAATAGAGCCAATTATAGCTTAAAATCAGACAAAATCTGTGTCAATCTGCTTAAATCTCTATTCACAGTTTATTAAACCACAGTATTTACGGGAATTTATCGTAAATACTTTAAGCCACCGCTTTAAGCGTAAGCCACCGCCATAATGACGGACTTACAGTCGCTTAGTCTAACGTTGAACGTCCCTTTCTACAGTGCCTGTCCTAAAATCCTAATGGCCTAAAATTTGAGTTAAGCTACAACCGATTGTCACTCTAAAGTTCTCAAACATTGAATACTTAGCCTTCAATACTTCAATACTTCAAATGAGCTTCAATACTTCAAACATAACCTAGACTAGCTCCAATATCTTAAAACCAGCTTTCGGCCCACCTTTCGGCGGGCAGGCCCACGTTTTCCACACAATCTAAGCCCCGCCCCTTTTTCCTAGACAGACGGACGTCTCTTCTGTATTATATATAGAGTTGAGCTGCAACTGATTGAACTGATTGTACTGATCTCAACTGAGCTACTCTAAAGGCCCCAAAACATTTAATACTTAGCTACAACTTAGCTGTAAATGAGCTGAAATCTTAAACATAGCTTAGATTTGCTCTAAAATTGTACTGTTCTGGATGAGGAATACGGTTAACTATTGAGTTGGTGAATTGAAAACTCATTGTCATATGTGACAGTTTGAGCACTTTCTTCGAAAGAAACCCATTTTGGTGTCAATGGAAAAGTTGTAGAGAATCAAAAATTAGGCTTATATCCAAAATTTCAGAAAGATTCAAAAACTGGTTTTTGAAGAAATGCCAAATTTACGAATTTTTACAAAACTTTTTAAGCGAAACTACTAAGTGTATCTTTTTGGAAATTTGGCTATAAGCCTAATTTTTGATTCTCTACAACTTTTCTATTAAGACCAAAATGGGTTTCTTTTGAAGAAAGTGCTCAAACTGGGAGTCCAGTCCTCCATTCTCAAGGTCCAGTCCTCCATTCTTGAGTCTCACACTTGTCTCACACACAAAACAAAATCCTACTACGAAAGAGGAATCAATCTACAAAAGAGGAACAAATTGCCTGTAAAATGGGCAGAAGTCGTCAATAATAATGGAAATTGTTTGGAATGAATTGATGGATTTATGCGGAATAAGTTTTAGTTCAAAATCCGGCAGTTTTTTTAGTTCAAAGTCTGGCATTCAGCAACCCAATATTTTGTATATCCCAAATCGAGAATCATTCAAATCAAAACAACAGTTTATCTGGTTTATTCAATAGCTTTTACATTGCATGATTGTTCTATTTTAGATTACAGGTGTACTATAAAGTATTCCTTTGAAGTACCGCCGCCAAGTGTCCCGCGGTGTCTGTTATTTGCGTTTTTCTTGGCGCTCACTTAACCAATTTGGCTATACTTGGTTTTATTCGATAGCCCTGATCGATAGCTATCAAATTAAACCAAGTGTAGCTAAATCTGTCAAATGAGCGGCAAGAAAAACGCAAAAAAGTAGCTTGCCTCTGACAAGAGGGACACTTGGTGGCGGTACTTCTAAAGTATTCTGTAAAGTCACGATTTAAGTTCATTCAGTGTCTCAAGAATGTTAAAAGAATGAAAAAAGAATTCCCCATACAGTTTAAATTTAGACCTTGCCCCTTTTGATTACTATTTATTCCGGATCATGAGTAATGAGCTTGCGGGAGAACACTTCGATTCGGAAGAAGCAGTCAAAAATTGGCTTTAAAAGTTTTTTGATTCAAAACCAAAATCCTACTACGAAAGCGGAATCCGCAAATTGCCTGTAAAATGGGCAGAAGTCGTCAATAATAATGGAAATTATTTGGAATGAATTGATGGCTTTATGTTGCATTAATTTTAGTTCAAAGTCCCGCAGTTTTCAATTCACCAACCCAATAATAATAGCTAATTTTCCCTTTGTAAATAACCGCCGTAAGAGTCACAAGCACGCCTTAAGCCGCTTGTGATTCTGTTGGCCGCCATTCTTAAAAGCAAATTGATCTGTTAAATGCTAAGGGTGTTAAATGCTGGTCTCCGTAAGAGTCAAAAGTATCGATCAAAATGTACCAATAATTTGCAGAACTGTGGCCGTGCCAAACGAAGTATTTCCGCTAACGTTCGCTCTGCTCCCAAGAATACTTGGACTGTGAAAGGGTAAGTGATAAAGAATTTCACGAATCACGAACTTTTTGTCGACGTAGCCTTTCGCTCGTTCAAATATTTCTCAGCCTCTTTCTTGTCGTCAAACTTTTTGTAGACAGCTTGCGGAAAATCATCAATCTAATCTAATCATTTTCGACATTTTTCTTTTCAATTCACCTGTTTCTTTGCTTCATTCCAATCCTCAAATAAACCTCGTTTAAAACCATGAGCAACCGCGTAAAATTTTGACATTCTAATAACAAATGAGAATAGCTAAAAATTCAAATGAGAATAGCTAAAAATTCATATGATTGACAGCTGTTTACACGGGTTTTTTTTCGTTTAACGCGTGTTTCATGTTGTCAAAATTGAAAAGGGTTTATTGAGAGCAAACAAAAAAAGAAAGAGAAAGTGAAAAAGCTGCAAAAGACTTCAAAAAACTCCAAAAAATCAATATTCTCTTGCATTTCTAGTAAAATAAACAAAAACCGTTGCCTTTTCAATAAACAAAAATGAAATATAGAGTTGCTTGGGATCAAAAAGCAACTGTTTTCAAAAAGCAACCAAGGTTAAACTGGGAAAGTCTGAGGAAAAGGCAGGCTAGTTCTTGGGTTGCAAAAGGGATCTCTCTAGTTCTTGAGTTGCAAAAGGATCTCTCTAGACCTCTCTAGACTTATCTTGTTTTTCTCTCTCAATCGTGCTCTCATCGCCGCCGTAGACCCTTTGTGAGGTTGGAAATGTTTTTTTTCTGACTAGCAAAACAGAAAAAAGTCTTTGCAACGCAGCGGGGTCAAACCAGAGACTTAAATGGCGCTAGCAGCCTATTCACTAGGCCACGAGCTCACATTTGGGAACCACAATTTAATTTGGTGATGGGTTGCTCAATTTGATTTGGTGCTCCGATAAACTTTAAGTCCAAATATCTCGAGATTTTAGCACCATCATCCCCAAACGACCTAGATATTCAGAATTAATGCAAAAAAACTATTCTAGAAGTTTGTCTCAGCCCGAAAGGCGCGTGCAAATCCGAAAGGCAAAAATGGCTAAAGATTTGAGGCAAAAATGGTTAAAGATTTGAACTAAAACATTAGAAAAATGTATTTAAATGATTTTTGTGATTTTTGTGATTTTTGGTAGCAAAATGAAGCCTAAAATAAGGGCTTGAGGGGGGACTGGGTTTGATGCTCTGAGCTTTGGGCAGTAAAAAATCGAAGAGCGAGACAGACTATCTGAAAATTTTGCCCGAACTCGTTAAGCAGGACTACTTTGAACTATGTAGGTTAAAGAATTCAATAGAAGAAAGGAATATTGACCATTTGAGCTGAAAAGCGTTATATCAAATGTAAATTTCACATCGTTAGATCGAGAATAGTATCGATGTACAGTCTCTATAACGGAATGGAAAGGACTAAAACAATTCTTCCGTTATAGCTTAGCGTCGGCCGGACCAAAATTCTATTCCGTTATATAGAGCTTTCCGCTATATTGAGTTCCGTTATAGAGGGAGTCGAGAGAGTTGGTGACTATTTTACGGTTTCCAAGCTTTCGCAGAAGCTCAACACTCTAATCCCCCACTAGATCTCATTGTCAGCTACATTTTCCGACCCCACATCGATAGGTTCTGATAAGCGGTTCTCGAGATTTCGAGCAATTTAGGCGACGCTCAGGATGCACTACTATTATAGAAAATACCGTATTTAGAATTCCGCTATATGGAGTTTTTTTTAATATGTAGAATGGCTTAGCGTCGGCCGGGACCAAAATTCTATTCCGTTATATAGAGCTTTCCGTTATATAGAGCTTTCCGTTATAGAGAGAGTCGAATGTTGCTTTGAACGCAAGTTTGGAGAGTTATACGATCTCCATCAAGTTTTTGCAAAGTTTCATTGACGTTCACAGATGTCATCATCCTCATCAAAGCATACTAGTTTCTATTACCGTGTTTTCTCTAATAGTAGTGCACCCGGGCGAGCCGAGTTGGTGACTATTTACGGTTTCCAAGCTTTTGCAGAAGATCAACACTCTAATCCCCCACTAGATCTCATCGTCAGATGTCATCATCCTCATCAAATCATCCTAGTTTCTCGGAAGAGCATCTCTTAAAGTTCTTGTCATCATTGAAAAACTTCAATATCATTTCGAAGATGAAATTTTGCATTATGAAATGCATTTAATCTGACCAAGAGACTACAACGCTCAGGCTCATTTTTGTGCCTCAAAAATTTCATTTTCTACCCTTTCATTTTCTATTCTTTATAGTGCACGATAGATCGGTGAAAAGTCTTTTCATTTAAATCCTCTTTCAGATTTGCTTTCTCGATCCCCTGGCAACGCTTTTGAAATGAATTAAGAGCGGTCTCAAATTGAAGGCTGAAAAATGTCTCTTGAGTTTTGATCTTTCATTTGCTCGACATTTTGACTTTTGGTCTATTTTTTTTCAGCAAAATTTTAACTTGAAATACATCCAATTTGATTTCAGTTTTGTAATGCTTTAAAAAGTGGTTTATTTTGGCGTTTCTGATTCGGTACTAGACTTTAAAAAGAGGTTTATACACACTTCAAAAGAAAAATACAGTCGACTCTTTCTATAACGGAATGGAAGGGACCAAGAAAAAGCTTTTCCATTGTATAGAGCTTTTGGTTATAGAGAGAATTTCAAGTGCAAAAATTTTTTTATATACGGAGTTATACGGAGTTTTTCAATGCAATTTCATTTACATAAAGTGTTTTATTCATTTCTAAAAAACAATTTCTAATAAAAACAATGCGATCGTAGCAAATTTTGTTGAACTAAACTTGTACAAAGTTGTAAAACAAATTCGTTATTTTGAGTTGTTGAGAACGGTGGAGGCGAATGTCTTTAAAAGCTTCTTTAGTCAATTTAATGACTTACCGTAAATACTGTAAATACTGTACCCTACCCCGCTCGTACAGTCGCGTAGTCACAAAAGTTTTTTCGTATTTTATTTTTTTCAGAGCGCCCGTCAAAAAATGCGTCTTTGGTATCAAAAAAATAGCTGAGATTCAGGGCTATTTTTTGATACCTAAACGCGCATTGTAGCATAAACCAGTGTCGAGAAAAGCTCATCCAAAGCTAGGCTACACAACTCCGCACCGTCATTATGGGGCTGAGGTACTATTACAGTATTTACGGTATTTCGTTAATGAGTGATTAATCTGATTAGTTAAATTAGTCAGTTTAGTGTCTGAATAGCTTAACTATTCGAAAGAAAACAAAATCCAAAATTGGCCACTCTATATAACGGTTAAAAGAGAGGTCGTTAGCTAAGCGCTTCCAAATTTTTCCTCCTTTATAGAGAGTCTCTGTTATCGTATTTTCTCTAATAGTAGTGCACCCCGGTGAGCCGAGTTGGTGACTATTTACGGTTTCCAAGCTTTCGCAGAAGCTCAATTCTCTAATCCCCCACTAGATCTCATCATCGGCTACATTCACCGACCCGACATCGATAGGTTTTGATAAGCGGTTCTCGAGATTTCGACCAATTTAGGCGACGCTCAGGGTGCACGACTATTAGAGAAAATACGGTATAGAGATAGTTATAGAGAGGCTGTGATAGACTTTTCCATTCACAATATGAAAACCAATTTTCTCCGGCTGAACTTAACTGGAATTTGCAGCAAAAATACAACTAAATTAAAGGCAAAATTGCTCTCATATTGGGTTGGGGACTATGACTCGGCGCCGAAAATCAAAAAAATTTCTAAAACTTCTATTCGACTTCGTCAAATAATACGCGTTTGATATCAGTAGAAAAGTTAGCTAATTCTCTACAAAATGACATTTAAAAGAAAACTCAAACAGCGCCTCAGCTCAAGAAAAGGCCATTTTTTCACAAAAACTACAAAGTGTCATCTAGAAAAAACGGTTGGAGGGGTCTTCCTGCAAATTTGGCAACTTATGTAATTGAATGTGCTCTATCTTTTTTACATAGACACCAAAGAAGGTTTATGTGGAAGAAACTGTTCAAACGATGAGTCGGACTCTTTGCCATTTTGATCAGCTGCGTTTGAAAGTTCATAAACTCCACGAAAGAAAAGCTTTGTGGAATCTCTCAAAAGTCATTTTGTAGAGAAATATTGGATCCTTTTGATGAAAGAAAACGTATATTTAAAGAAGGCTTTATGCGTGCAAAAAGTGTCTTTAAAGTTTGCCGCTGAGTCATAGTCCCCAACCCAATAGATTTAGGCAAAGTGACACTCTAAAAATTTAAACATAGTGAACAAAATTTGACGCTCAAAACGAAGAAAATCAGCTCAATCTATCAGCAAGAATAGTTTCTTATCAGAAAATTCTCGTACATGACTGTTCCATCTTTAATCTATCACTTTTTCTTGCATCTCTTTCATAGCTTAATCCAGAAATAATCCGAAATCTTTGAGAAATCTTTTAGAAAACTTTGAAAAAAGAGTTTCTTTGAGAAATGAACTTCTCAGAGAACCCCTTCATTTACTAGAGATCGGTATTTTTGAAAACAAAAGCCTACTTTTGCATGAGTGATCTCAGAAATCGACAACAGATCATCTTTTGCAAAAATTAGTTTAATCTATTACCAAGAAAAGTTTCTTATCAGAAAATTCTCATACATGACTGTTCCATCCCTAATCTATCACTTTTTCTTTGTTTAATCCCTCGAGAATTTATTTTCGTTGAGTGTTTTTTCTATGTCATTTGGCTTATTTTTATGAATAATAGACGTCAATCCCCACCTACACTCGTTTTTGAGCGATAAGTCGATTCCATGAACTTGTCGTTCTTTAAAATCATCATGATTACTCTCGCGGAGTCGTCTAGAAATGCGATCATCAACTTTAAAAAGAAAAGTGTCTAGTAATGAATCAAAAACGAGTCAACACCCTATTTCTTTTTAGTAGCAGTAGCTTTTGTTAGTAGTTTTCGTTACAACTAGTTTTACAGTTCGTTCGTTCGTACAGTTCGTTTCGTACAGTTCGTTCGTTCGTACAGTTCGTTCGTTCGTTCGTTCGTTCGTACAGTTTGTTCGATCGTACAGTTCGTTCATTCGTACAGTTCGTTCATTCGTACAGTTCGTTCATTCGTACAGTTCGTTCGTTCGTACAGTTCGTTCATTCGTACAGTTCGTTCGTTCGTACAGTTCGTTCGTTCGTCCGTACAGTTCGTTCGTACAGTTTGTTCGTTCGTACAGTTCGTTCATTCGTACAGTTCGTTCGTTCGTCCGTACAGTTCGTTCGTCCGTACAGTTCGTTCGTACAGTTCGTTCGTTCGTACAGTTCGTTCGTTCGTACAGTTCGTTCGTTCGTTCGTTCGTTCGTACAGTTCGTTCGTTCGTACAGTTCGTTCGTTCGTTCGTTCGTTCGTTCGTACAGTTCGTTCGTTCGTACAGTTCGTTCGTTCGTACAGTTCGTTCGTTTTCTGACTATTAAACCCTACGTTAAATTGCCAAACTGGCCATGAACCTGGCTGTTTAATGGATGCTCGTTCAGCTTCATGTTTTCCGTTTTTCAAGCTTTCTAAACTTGTTTGGAAAGCTGTTTTTAACAAAATTGATTGTCGATTTTGTTATGTCTATTTTGTTTATTTTTACTTTAAGTCTAGGTTTCTTTAAGTTTCAGTTCAAAAATCTCAAACTCCATTTCAGTTTCTTCATCTTTTCTTTTGCAAGTGATTCTTCGTTGACTCGAATGGATTCAATCTACTTCTGCACGGTCTGCTCATCGGCAAAAGGCACCTCACTTTACTATGGAGGACTGGTTTGTGGGTGAGTAGTGGAAAATGATTTTTTTAGTAGATGCTTAACTAATGAAATTTAAGATCACGAATTTACATTTAAATTTCTTCTATTAGTAACTTCTATTCGTCTTTGCCCAGAAAGTTTTTTCTTTCTTTTCTGTACTTCCGTTTAAAACCAACAAATGCACCAATTAAACTATGGTTTGCTTCATTAAAAAGATCAATTATTTCTCAGTAAAATAACATTAAAACGGGTTTAAAATGTCTTAAATCTGGATTTTTTGGGATCTTGAACTTTGAGCTCAAATATCTTAGTGTTGGGCTGTCCGATTTCAAGAGTTTTTGTACCAATCGATAGAGAAAGCCTTGGCGCATTTAATCATATAAAGAATTTGTCTTATACCTGGATTTTGTCTTTTTTAGGAGCGTGAGGTCGGGTAGTCAAAAAGTCGGGTAGGCGATGGCTCGATGATACGGTTTCAATACTTTAGCTAAGGAAACCTATCTTGGTGTCAATAGATAAAAGATAGAGCGCAAAACTTTTAGTATATAGCGAAATTCTCAGAGAAATTGATTCATCCAATTACGAGAAACCCTTTCGCATTTCTCGAATACACGCCCCGCCCCTTTGCCATTGGCAATCTAACTTTGAGCTCAAATATCTTAGTGTTGGGCTGTCCAATTTAAATAGTTTTTGTACCAATCGATAGAGAAAGCCTTGGCGCATTTGATCATATAAAGAATTTGTCTTATGTCTGGATTTTTTTTGGAGCTTGAAGTCGGGTAGTCAAAAAGGGCGACGGCTTGATGATGCGGACACTTTAGCTTTAGAAAAGACACATTTTAGCCTAAGGAAACCTATCTTGGTGTCAATAGATAGAAGATAGACCACAAGAAGTTTTGTATATAGCCAAATTTTCAGCAAAATTGATTCAGCCAATTTCTTCGCAGAGGTTTTTTAGTTTTCAGTTAGTTTCCAAAGCCTTTTCTGGACAGTCTAATAAAGTTAGTAAACTTTTCAGTGGCTGCAAAGTCTTCTTCTTGCGAACCGTCCGCAACCAATACGAGTACAAGTGCAAGAATAAAGGAAATTGCTCAATTAAAGGTTTAAAATGAAAAGTATTCAGTTTTAAAGATCAAATTTTAGATGGATTCATAAAATGTCGAGCCTGTCGATTCGCGCTTTGTCTCAAGTCGAATATGAATCCAAGCAGTGGGGTTTTTCTCAGCTTAGGCTTAGGCTCAGGCTTAGGCTCAGGCTCAGGCTTAGGCTTAGGCTTAGGCTCAGGCTTAGGCTCAAGCTTAGGCTCAGGCTTAGGCTCAGGCTTAGGCTTAGGCTTCGGCTCAGGCTCAGGCTTAGGCTCAGGCTTAGGCTTGGGCTTAGGCTTAGGCTAGGCTTAGGCTTAGGCTTGGACTTAGTGCGAAGGCTAGCGGCTAGCGCCTCGCACTAAGTCTATTTGGGTTTGGACTGGACCCCCATTTTCTGGATCTCAGCCAGTTCTCGGAGCTTTAGGCTTAGGCTCAGGCTTAGGCTTAGGCTTAGGCTAATGCTTGATCCTTGAATAAGCTCCAGGCAAAACTGGCATCAGAGAAAATTTGTGGTCTGCTGTCTTCAAAGTTCTCTATTTCGACTTTCTTCCATTTATAGCTAATTTTAGCTGTCGGGATTTCTCGAGAGACAAAATGTTTGACCAAAGACGAACTACCAGATCTTCTCGATGATTTGGATGCTGATAGAAATGATCAGGGTTTTGATTTGAAAAATGATAAGCTATTGGCTTATTGCTAGTTAAATTTTACAGCTTTTACATTTTTACAGCTTTTATAGTTCAACTGTTGACTTTATTTATCTTCGGTAAAGATATTTTCGATCGCTAATCGCTCGTTTTTTAGCAACTTGCTCCTTCATGATCCCAGAAGATTTCCCTGTAATAGAAACCGATGAAAAATCGTTGGTGTTTAGAATTTAAAACTCATAACAAGATTCAGTACCGTATCTGCAAATCACAATCCTCTAAAAAGAAATTGGAAAGATCGTGGAGTTGAGGAATTCGATCGGAGAAGAGCTGTCGTTCCATATTTGAACAAGAGCTTCAAAAGGAATACGGTAAAAGAAGGATTTCAATATTTCTAGAAATAGTAAAGCTTTCTAGAAATATTTAAAGAATAGAAGACTTTTAGGAACTATTAAGCACCTCGTACTTGATCGGAAAAAGTTTTATTGAAGAGCTGAAAAAGTCTGGGCTCAGTGCAACGTTGATGGCGAAACGGCTAAGCCAACTTGAGTCGTGGGTTTACTAAAATTCGAGTTTTTCTTTTAGTTTTCTTTTATTTTTCTTTTATTTTTCTTTTCTTTTCCTTTTCTTTAGTCTAAAGTTTCAGTTTCTGTGATCTGGAACATTCGATGGCTCCAATCAATCCATCATTTAATCTCGATGTCTCGCTTGAAGCGGCGATTCGAGATCCACTAGCGCTTTGTACTCGAACACCAGTAAGTTGAGTTTGTTCAATTCGTGAAAACAGAATGGAACTTTCCTGGTTATCCTGTTTTCTTGCTTTCCTGTTTTCCTGCTGATCCTGCTGATCTTGTTTATCCTGCCTATCCTGCTTTCCTGTCTTATTGCTTATCCTGCTTATCCTGCTTATCCTGCTTTCCTGCTTATCCTGCTTATCCTGCTTATCCTGCTTTCCTGTTTTATTGCTTATCCTGCTTATCCTGCTTATCCTGCTTTCCTGCTTATCCTGCTTATCCTGCTTTCCTGTTTTCCTGCTTTCCTGCTTTCCTGTTTTCCTACTTTCCTGCTTATCCTGCTTATCCTTGAATGCAAAAGTAAACTTGTAACTGCATTGCCTAAGCTGTAAAACTGTAATCAGTAACATCATGAAAAGTGTTTCATCTGAACCATTTTTTAACGATTTCTTCAAGTCTTTTTATTTGAAGATCAAAAGCCAGTTAGTTAGCAGCTATCTCATGATATGAAAGCATTTGGTTCTTCTCGGAAATCGGGGTCTTTTGAAAAAAATCCGAGTCTTTCATTGTGAAAATCCATTATATAAAAAATCCAAAAGTAAATTCGATTCTCTTGGGAATTTTGCTTGGCTTAAAATAAACCTTGCCAATAGATTCTTGAAAGAGATGCAAAAATAGATTTGAGATGAAACAGTTATGTACGAGAATTTTTTGGTGAGGAGCGATTCTTGGTAAAGCTGAAAAGTTTACTACCGTATTTACTCGAATAGAAGACCGGTCTTCTATTTTTTCAATCACCCCCTAGACCCCGTCTTCTATTCGAGGCCGGTATTCTATTCAAGACGGTCTTTTATTATTTGCATTCACGAAAATTTTCGGGAAAGTAACCAGCGTTTAAAAAAAACTTTTTATAAAAATTTATTGTAACATTTAACAACAAAATTTATCAACAACAACATTAACAACAATTAATAAGAACATAAAAAGCAGTAATAACAACATTATTCTTCATTCTCACTTGATTCAATGTCATCCTCTATTAAATCTGGATCTTGCAAATTCCATCAAGTCCCTCTGCGCTCGAAATTGAATCGTTTTCACTCTCATCTCCATTGTTTCTATCCTCGTCGGAGTCGATATCTTGACAAAGTTTTGCTAATCTTCCCTCCAATCTTGCAATATCCAGCTTGAATCGACCACTCTCAACAGCTTCCCCATTGCGGCAACAAACAATCTGATCATCCTCGCTGTTGGACTCCTTGTTGTCATTTTTTGCCGTCACAAAAAATCCGCAAGCCATTCATTGCTTGCAGAGAAAGACTTTGTGAAATCTAGGTTTGATTCGCGAAAAAACTCCTTGGCTTTGTCCTGAACCATACGTCGAGAAACTTTTAGCTTTTCCTTTTTTTTCTTTGATCCAGCGCGAAATTTAAGCATTCGCCCTCCTCCTTTTAACCGCTTCGCCCCTTTCGATTCCTTTTGCAGCGACTCCTCTTTTGCCGTCCAGTCTGGAATCATCTTTGGAGTCACCTTAAACTATCGAGCAGTCGCCTCTTTTTCTTTGAAAAACGAATGGCCTCGAGTTTAAAGGCGGCACTGTAGGCTTTCCGTTTCGTAGCACCTCCGATCCCCTAAAAAAATGCTACTTTTCCGTTATACCTCCGCCAACTCCACATTTCCGTTATACCCCGCCAGTTTTTAGATAAAAAATGATCAGATAATCAAATAATTAAAAATAATCAGAGTCAAAATGACGGAAATTTGGAGATGGCGGAGGTATAATGGAAAAGTACCAAAAAAAAATTATTAATACAAGATGTAGAACAATATCAAAAAAATAGTGCTATTGAATGAAAATATAATATTTTTACCCTATTGGGTAAAATTCCCTTATTCTTTTCTCGTATTTGAGTACGTCCACTTTCGCGCAGAATAGAAAACAGGGTACCTCGAATATAAGACCGGTCTTATATTCGAGACGGCCTTCTATTTTTTCGATCATCCCCTAGACCCCGTCTTCTATTCGAGACGGTCTTATAATCGAGGCCGGTCTCCTATTCGAGTAAATACGGTAACTTTATTAGACTGTCCAGAAAAGGCTTTGGGAAACTAACTTATCATAATTTGACTAAAGATGCAGATGCAGATGCAGATGCAGATGTAGATGTAGATGTAGATGTAGATGTAGATGCAGATGTAGATGTAGATGTAGATGTAGATGTAGATGTAGATGTAGATGCAGATGTAGATGTAGATGTAGATGTAGATGTAGATGTAGATGTAGATGTAGATGTAGATGTAGATGTAGATGTAGATGTAGATGTAGATGTAGATGTAGATGCAAATGCAGATGTAGATGCAGATGTAGATGTAGATGCAGATGCAGATGTAGATGTAGATGCAGATGTAGATTTAGATGCAGATGTAGATGCAGACACAAATGATTTGCAGATGGGTTGGGCTCACGGTCGAATGGTTTGTGACGGAATGATGGATATCATCTCGGTGATCTACACTCGAATCGCTCTTCATTACTTGGATTGGGTCTCAGCGTTGCACGAACTTCAAGAACTCGATGAAAGAGACAAAGTAAAGAGAGAATCGCTTTCACTATCAGCATTGTTTAGTTCTCACTGGTCAGCTCTCAACTTTGTCAAATTGAGTTGAGCACAATGGTCTATAACACGTACAAAGAGGGGAAAGACGGGCTCCTTTTTGCATCCGGCTTTCATTTTCTGCCGCCAAAAGGGAAACCAAAAGATGAGTGAGTGAAACGGTTATTAGATCATACAGTTTGTCATGGTTATAATGAGCAATTGTTAGTCAAAAAGCCATATTTTGACGCTGTCACAAAACCATTTGGCTTCTGTAATCTAGCACCGGCAAAAAAGGCAAATTTCTAAGCCAACCCAAATCCAAGCCAAAGTCAAGCTACTTATTTTTGCGTCAATTCCCGGGCAAGCCAAGTAAAAACCAAGGTTTTCGACTAAATCCAACAATAATGTTGTAATTTGAGGCAAATTAAGCTGAAAATTTTCACCAAGGGATTTTCAGGGTCAAGGAATTTGAATTCGTTATTAGTTTTTAAAGAAAACTGCTCTGTTTTTAGGATATTACATTCGGTTTTATTACCCAAGGTTTTTAGAGAGTTTTGTGATGATTGAATTGGCTCGGAAGTTAAAGTTGTTCAAAAACTAATAACTGATGAAGATTCTCCATCCCAGAATGCCTCCAGATAGAAATTTTCGGGTCTACAGCTAACACAGATAGTCCGAAACAGCAGCCAATCCAAAAATGACTTTGTCTTGAATGTTAATGACTCTTGGATTATTGAGTTTAACTCTAATCATACTGAAGTGGCTAACATTTCATTAATTTCATTAACAAAAGAAATTCAAAGTAGACTAGAGTTGATTATGAGACGACTATTAGACTTGGATTCTTGTTTTTGGTTCTTGAAGGGGAGGACCAAGTTCGGGGAGTTCAGGACTAAATGAACGGAGACGATCCGGCCTAAACAATCAACGCATAGCGTCTCTACGAATCAGCTCGTTCCATCGCTTCTCCAAGGATGCCTTGCCATGGTGGGCCAAGAAAGTCATCTTTCGTAAATCGGATCCTGCTTGTTACAAGCCAAAAGATGTGACAAAAGACCCATCGGTGTGCCGTACGTGAATTTAGCACTTTTTTTGAGGTCGATTGGGCTGAAAACTTGCACCAGGGGTCAAGGAATTCGAATCCATCATTCGAATAAAGAAAATTGTTCTATTTTTGGATTTCATTAACAAAAGAAATTCAAAGTAGACTAGAGCTGATTATGAGACGATTATTAGACTTGGATTGTTGTTTTTGGTTCTTGAAGGTTAGGACCTAGTTCGGGGAGTTTAGGACTAAATGAACGGAGTATCGAGCCAATTAAAGTATCAAGGAGTATCGAGTATCGAGTGTAGTTTAGCTCGGTATGGTAGTTTAAGATTAAAAGCTTCTTTCGCCTTTTTCTCTTCAGTTTTTAGAGTTTTGTGATGAGCTGATTGGCTCGGAAATTAAAGTTGTTCAAAAACTAATAACTGATTCAGATTTTCTATCCCAGAATGCCTCCAAATAGAAATTTTCAGTTCTACAGCTAACACAGATAGTTCGAAACAGCAGCCAAGCCAAAAATGATTTTTTCGTGAATGTGTTAAGAAACGATGACATTTTTGCCAGCTTTTTGTACGTTTTCATAGCCAACTTGTTGATTTCTGAAGAAACAAGACTCCAATCTTCTTTCTTCATTTTATCCCAGTTTAAATCGAGTTCACAAATCAATCATCATTTCTAAAGAACACTGTTACATAAATCCAAATCATCATTTTCAAATCATGTTCAGATTTGACGGTTTCATCCTCGCTTTATCCGTTTATATGCAAACTGAAGTGATCTCGAAATTTAAAGAACTTCAAATCAAGTAGAAAAATTTAACAAAATTAAAATATATAACAAAATTTAGTGCCGAAGAGTATGCGTTGATGAAAATCATTGGCTTTTTTACACCAAGTGGGAATTTTTTTAAAGTAAAAATTGAATTTCGGCTTTCTAGTTGTCCTTTTGAGTGAGTCAGGTGCCACAGTCATTCAGCGAGCTCGATTAAAGTATGAACAGGTAAAGAACGTTACTTTTCAAGTTACTTTTCAAGTTAACTTTAAAGTTAAAGTTCCGTTAAACAGGTAAAGAACGTTACTTTGTGAGTTAAAGTTAAAGCTAAAGCTCCGTTGAACAGGTAAAAAACGTTACTTTTCGAGTTAGAGTTAAAGCTAAAGGTAAAGCTCCGTTGAACAGGTAAAGAAAGTTACTTTTCAAGTTAAATTTAAAGTTAAAGTAACTTTGAACAGGTAAAGAAAGCATGCTTTGGTAGTAATCAATGGTAGTAACTCAATGTTTTTGTAACTTGGTAGTAACTCAATTTTTTAGCTCTTGCTTGAGTACATCAAAGAAACCTATCCGACTTTATCAGAAGGCGAAAGACAGCGAAGAATGTACAAGATTGTGGCGATCAATCGAAATCTATTGGTGGGTTTGGATAGAGCTCTTTAGCTCTTTAGCTCTTTAGCTTTTTAGCTTTAGCTCTTTAGCTCTTTAGCTCTAGCTCTAGCTCTTTAGCTCTAGCTCTAGCTCTTTAGCTCTTTAGCTCTTTAGAACTGGAATGAATAAAACTGGAACTTAAGCTGTCATTTATTAGGTTCAGCATTACCTTTTGCTTTTGGATTTACACCTCAGTTTTAGGCCAAGACCTAGCACATCTTGCTCTTTAGCTCTTTAGCTCTTTAGCTCTTTAGCTTTAGCTGTTCAGTAGGTTCTTTCATCTCGATCTTTTCGTTTCCGAAAACAGTACACTCTGACGACACTAAATATGATTTTTAACTCTTTTATTCTCTCATAAGTCTCACTCTCATAAGTCTTAGTAACACTTTGTTTTTTTTAAAAATAATTGTTTATTGACCTGACTTCCTCCGCTCTGTTTACATCTAAAAAGTCGGCTTATCAATCCCCTTTCATTTTATATATTAGGCTGTTCGGATGTAAACAAGCGTTGCTAAACTTATTGTTGTGAGAGAAGCTTTTAAAACATGTATTTCGGTATTTAAAAGTACGTTATCTTGTGCATATTTTTTTTAAAGCTTTCTTTCCATAGCTTTTCATAATTTCAGCATCTTGGCATCATGGATAACTCGTACATCACGAAAATGTTCTCGCTTAACATGGCGAATCTACAGAAACGATTTACTTACGATATGCATTTGAAGAAATACTGAATTGTGAATGGAATAAAGGCATTTATTCACATTTATTGATTTATTACACATTTCTTCAAAAAACGTTCAAAATCGGAAAATTATACCAATCTCTTGGACATGAGTTTGCTTCCATTCATAGCTCAAAATCTACAGGCGAGAAACAAGAGAATGCTTGTAGCAGCAGCATATAGTAGCAGCATAAAGTAGCAACCACATCAAACAATGAATTTTGAAAGTCTTTGAATATTTGAAACCTCTTTTTACCTAAAAAAAAGTAAAAATTAAGCCTCGATCCCAAGCGATTTTGCTGATTTCACAAAGAATTTATTCAATCTCTCGATCAAATCTAATCAAATCAAACACAATTCTAGTATTGTTCACCGTTTTAGTATGTCCAGAGTTAAAGCCAAGCATCCAAGAGTCATTAACACATTCACACATTCACAAAGTCATTTTTGGATTGACTGTTCTCTAAGTTAGCTGTAGAACTGAGAATTTCTATTTGGAGGCATTATGGGATAGAAAATCTGAATCAGTTATTAGTTTTTGAACAACTTTAATTTCCGAGCCAATCAGCTCATCACAAAACTCTAAAAACTGAAGAGAAAAAGGCCAAAGAAGCTTTTAATCTTAAACTACCATACCGATCTAAACCACACTCGATACTCGATACTCCTTGATACTTTAATTGGCTCGATACTCCGTTCATTTAGTCCTAAACTCCTCGAACTAGGTCCTAACCTTCAAGAACCAAAAACAACAATCCAAAGTTCGGGGAGTCCTGAACTCCCCGAACTTGGTCCTCCCCTTCAAGAACCAAAAACAAGAATCCAAGTCTAATAGTCGTCTCATAATCAACTCTAGACTACTTTGAATTTCTTTTGTTAATGAAATTAATGAAATGTTAGCCACTTCAGTATGATTAGAGTTAAACTCAATAATCCAAGAGTCATTAACATTCAAGACAAAGTCATTTTTGGATTGGCTGCTGTTTCGGACTATCTGTGTTAGCTGTAGACCCGAAAATTTCTAGAACCAAAAACAACAATCCAAGTCTAATAATCGTCTCATAATCAGCTCTAGTCTACTTTGAATTTCTTTTGTTCACATCACAAAAACTCTCTAAAAACTTGGGTAATTAAACCGAAAATTTTTGGATTTAAGTAACAGTGTTCTTCAGAAATGATGATTGATTTGTGAACTTGATTTGAACTGGGATAAAATGAAGAAACAAGGTTGGAGTCTTGTTCCTTCAGAAATCAACAAGTTGGCTATGAAAACGTACAAAAAGCTGGCAAAAATGTTATCGTTTCTTAACACATTCACGACAAAGTCATTTTTGGCTTGGCTGCTATCAAAGTTAGCTGTAGAACTGAAAATTTCTATTTGGAGGCATTATGGGATAGAGAATCTGAATCAGTCATTAGTCTTTGATTAATTTCCGAGCCAATCAGGTCATCACAAAACTCTAAAAATTGAAGAGAAAAAGGCGAAAGAAGCTTTTAATCTTAAACTACCATACCGAGCTAAACTACACTCGATACTCGATACTCCTTGATACTTTAATTGTCTCGACACTCCGTTCATTTGGTCCTAAACTCCCCGAACCAGGTCCTAACCTTCAAGAACCAAAAACAACAATCCAAGCCCAATAGTCGTCTGATAATCAGCTCTAGTCTACTTTGAATTACTTTTGTTAATAAAATCCAAAAATAGAACAATTTTCTTTATTCGAATGATGGATTCGAATTCCTTGGCCCCTGGTGCAAGTTTTCAGCCCAATCGACCTCAAAAAAAGTGCTAAATTCAAAGCGGCCCGCCGATGGGTCTTTTGTCACGTCTTTTGGCTTGTAACATGCAGGATCCGATTTATGAAAAACGACTCTCTTGGCCCAGCATGGCAAGGCATCTTTGGAGAAGCGATGGAACGAGCTGAATCATAGAGACGCTATGCGTTGATCGTTTAGGTGATCGTCTCGAATGTGTTAAAAATGGCATTCTTTCTGGATTTGTCTTATAGTCTTGTTCTTTTTTTTTGAGTCCTTCGAAAAATTTCGACAGTGTTTGAACTGCCACCATCGAGTGGGGTGGTCGGAGGGCGGGTGTTGCTCTGGTGGTGCCGGAAATCAGTTGCCCCAGTGACTTCAGCCATCGACTCGGCACTGGGCCATTGGGAGGTCAAGGCAATCACTTCTCTGTTGTGCGGAATTGATCTCTTGATCTCATCGAGACAGTATCTCGATGAGATCAACTACGAAATTGGTCTGAAGATGATTTCGTGTGGCTATAGGTGGAAGCACTGGCTATAGGTGGAAGCACTGTGGCTATAGGTGGAAGCACGAGCGATTGCTCGTTCGCACAAAGAACACCAGTCCTCTTCATGAGATCTCTCTTCTGTATCTCTTCTCTCAACAAAAAGAAGATGAGCTGTAAGTTTGTACCTGGGGTTTTTCGGGATCTGGGAATCGATTGGAGCTATTCATTTTATTAGATCTATACCAATTGAAATGATTGATTTCATTCATTGACTTAATTTGATTGATTTCATTGATTTAATTTGATTCAATTGATTGATTTAATTGTTCTAAACTTTTAGATAAGTTTAGACTTATTAGCCTAGTTCACTAGGAACTTTTAACGTTCATTGATAGGTCCGAATCCATTAGGTTCATCTAAAAATATGCTACTGTTGAATAATGAATAGTTTTGAATAACTTTGAAAGGATTTTTCCTTATTCAAAAGAATACAAAGGTGCTGAGCCCATCCAGGCAGCACAGGCGATAAATTATTCAAATGTGTGTTATTTTTTATATCCTCTTTTAGCTTGAAAGCTATTCACTAATGAAAACTGATGCTGAGAGTTTGAATTCAAGTTTTGAAAAAGATTTTGATCATCAAGTAACTATTTTTTACAATAATGAGGCTCTAATTTTTCCTTTCTCTTTTCTCAGGCTCGGCTCTCTCTTCTCGACGGTTCCCTTTTTTCGGTTTTCTTCGGTTTTCTCTCTCGTGACACTCTCTTCGTCGCTACTCATTGGTGGCTCGAAAATGGATTGGAGCCTCTCCTTGATCGGACGTCTATCGGGTAGTTCCAGTTGGCCCACATGATCCACGCTGAGCAGTGCCGATTCTGGACTCCGTGTGGCTCCACTCCGTGTGGCTCCACTCCGTGTGGCTCCACTCCGTGTGGCTCCACTCCGTGTGGCTCCACTCCGTGTGGCTCCACTCCGTGTGGCTCCACTCCGTGTGGCTCCACTCCGTGTGGCTCCACTCCGTGTGGCTCCACTCCGTGTGGCTCCACTCCGTGTGGCTCCACTCCGTGTGGCTCCACTCCGTGTGGCTCCACTCCGTGTGGCTCCACTCCGTGTGGCTCCACTCCGTGTGGCTCCACTCCGTGTGGCTCCACTCCGTGTGGCTCCACAGATCTTCACGTACTCACGGGGTTTCGTAGTTAAATTGGGCACCAAAATGTGCAGTGCGTGAGAGGGTACCGATGGGACCATTTTAATGCCTGCATTCTGCACAAACCATTTTAAAGTACTGTAGCTAGATATTTAAAGCCTAAATCTACCGTATGCCTGAAAAAGAGCATTTAAACGATAAGTTTAGATTTTAAGCGATTCAATGAGTTGACTCAATGATGATTCAATGTTTCAAATATTCAGAATCTTATAGTTACAGTAATGTTTGGGTTTTGAGATTTGTTTTGAGGTTCTGGTAACTTTACCCGTTGTCTTTCCCTTTATCAGCTTGATTAAAGTTCAAAACTCTGACAATTTTCGTTTCTACGTTTGAATATCTTTTCTGGAGCCAAATCTTGACTACAAATTTATCTAAAAGTGACTTTTTCCTCTCAGAAACCTTTTTGCTCGAATACATTTCTTTTTCATCTCTAAAATCAGCTTTTCCGACTGATTACCCCCAAAAAAACCTTTCCATTTGCTCAAAAAGTTGCCGATTTAAGAATTGTTAATCCGAATGATTTCATGGATTTGTTCTATTTCAGTTTTCGACTAGATAAATCTGGGAATCCTATTAGATTGACAAGAAAATCTTTGCACACATTTGAAATAAAATTTCTTAAAAACGAAACCACCAACTCAAGAACACTTTTTTCTATTATTTACAAGTCGACACCAAGAAATTACTCTTAAAAGATGAGGGCTGTCCAGAAAGTCTTTTCGTTCCTTTTCATACTTCTATTCAAAACCAACAAATGCACCAATTGAATTACGGTTTGAACTAAATCAGAGTATGAGCTGAATTTAAGCTGGAAAATAAGAATTTTTCAAAAATCTCTAAAATTTTAAAGGAAAACTGCCCTCATTTTTTACGAGTATTCTCTTGAAGTCGATTTGTAAATAATAGAAGAAAATGTTCTTGAATTAGTGGATTCGTTTTTAAGAAATTCCAGTCAAACTTTTTCTGAGAACTTTCTTTCCAACCTAATAGCGTATTTTCTCTAATAGTAGTGCACCCCGGCGAGCCGAGTTGGTGACTATTTTACGGTTTCCAAGCTTTTGCAGAAGCTCAACACTCAAATCCCCCACTAGACCTCATCGTCAGCTACATTTTCCGACCCCACATCGATAGGTTCTGATAAGCGGTTCTCGAGATTTCGAGGAATTTAGGGACGCTCAGGGTACTACTATTAGAGAAAATACGGTATATAGAATTCCGCTATATAAAGTTCTTTAATATATTTAGAAATAGCTTAGCGTCGGCCGGGACCAAAGTTCCATTCCGTTATATAGAGCTTTCCGCTATATAGAGTCATTTGGTCCAGCCATTCACAAGAAACAACCGTGACTTGGCATTGAGTCACGCGGTCGTCTATGTGTTACCGTATTTTCTGTTACCCAAAATTGGTCACTCTATATAACGGTTAAAAGAGAGGCCGCTAGGTAAGCGCTTCCAAATTTTTCCTCCTTTATAGAGAGTTTCCGTTACCGTATTTTCTCTAATAGTAGTGCACCCCGACGAGCCAAGTTGGTGACTATTTTACAGTTTCCAAGCTTTTGCAGAAGCTCAACACTCCAATCCCCCACTAGATCTCATCGTCAGCCACATTTTCCGACCCCACATCGATAGGTTCTGATAAGCGGTTCTCGAGATTTCGAGCAATTTAGGCAACGCTCAGGGTGCACTACTATTAGAGAGAATACGGTAATTTGTGCTCAAAGATTAGAAACGCACGCTTTCTAGCACATAGAACTTTTCATTTTTCTCAATGAGATCAGTCTATTTTTATGTCAAAAAATCAAGAGTCCACCAGACAATTGAGTACCCCAGACAGATTGCGTTTACAACTGAAACATACCCTTTCTGGCGCACATTCTGGCGCACATTCCGGCGCACATTCTGGCGCACATTCTGGCGCACATTCTGGCGCACATTCTGGCGCACATTCTGGCGCACATTCTGGCGCACATTCTGGCGCACATTCTGGCGCACTTTCTGGCGCACTTTCTGGCGCACTTTCTGGCGCACTTTCTGGCGCACTTTCTGGCGCACTTTCTGGCGCACTTTCTGGCGCACTTTCTGGCGCACTTTCTGGCGCACAATTCTTTCTTTTTGTTATACGAGCAGTTGTTGGTGTGGGAAAATGGAAAAATAAAGTATGCCAGATGGGGTGCGTTTTGCAATTTCCAAGCACAAAGTCCATTACTCGCTAATAAGAAGTTTATTTTTATTTGTATCTTTTTCAAACAAATATTCTGCGAATTCATTCATTCCTCTCAGAATCGACTCTATTTTTCTCGTCTTTTGCAATAGCCAAAGCAATTTTTCCTTTTCTCAATCTAAATTTGCATAAATCCAAACCTTTCCGGAGTAGGATTAGGAAAAAAAAACGAAAAAAAAGACAAATCCAAATGGGTCACACGAATTTCAAGCTTTTTTGAGAGTTTTTTAAAGTTCTTCGAAACATTATGCACTCTTCAGTTGATCAAAAACTAATCGCAAGGCTTCTAAAAGTTTCGAAAATTTCAAATTGATCCTTTTAAAAGAAATTCTAATTCTAAAATTTAAATTCTGCTTTGAAATTCGAAATTCTTCTTTCAATTCGTTGTTTTTGTTTTTGCTTTCATTTTTTGTCATTTCAACGATTAGCGTTTTTTTTGTCGCAAAATCTCGCGGGTTGTCATTAGAAATTGAAAAAAACAACATTAGAAATGTTATTAAAAATCTTTAAAATAAAAAATGTTTCTTTTTCCCACCAAGTTGGTTTTTTTCTTTCACAACATTTGAGTAATAGGTAACGTAGTAAGTAAAGTAAAGTAAAGGAAAGTAAAGGAAGGCAAAGGAAAGTAAAGTAAGTAAAGTAAGTAAAGTAAAGTAAAGTAAAGTAAAGTAAAGTAAAGGAAGGCAAAGGAAAGTAAAGTAAAGTAAAGTAAAGTAAAGGAAGGCAAAGGAAAGTAAAGGAAGGCAAAGGAAAGGAAAGAAAGCCAAGGAAGGCAAAGTAAAGTAAAGTAAGTAAAGTAAGTAAAGTAAAGTAAAGGAAGGCAAAGGAAAGTAAAGGAAGGCAAAGGAAAGTAAAGGAAGGCAAAGGAAAGGAAATGAAAGCCAAGGAAGGCAAAGTAAAGTAAGTTAAGTTAAGTCAAGTCAAGTCAAGTCAAGTCAAGTCAAGTCAAGTCAAGTCAAGTCAAGTCAAGTCAAGTCAAGTCAAGTAAAGTAAAGTAAGTAAAGCAAAGCAAAGTAAAGTAAAGCAAAGTAAAGCAAGTAAAGTAAAGTAAGTAAAGCAAAGTAAAGTAAAGCAAAGTAAAGCAAGTAAAGTAAAGTAAGTAAAGTACTAACGGGAACGTAATAAGTAAAGTAAAGCAATAATGGCCGAAGTGCCATAAAATTGTGTCTTTAGATTGTTTAAATTGTGTGCATTATGTCTTATTATGAATGCTTTGTTTGGATCATATTATTGGTTTTCAATAAATGCTTTGATTTATTTAAGAATCAACAAAAACGAAAAAAACTTTGTCTTTTACTTTGCCTTTTACTTCAACTCTTTAATCTATTCAAGCATCTCACTCGATTTCTTCTCTTTTCCTCAAATGTTGCAAACGGAAAGGAGAATTCAGCAATGAAAATTAGTTGGATTAGTGCTTGTTTTTGCCATCGTTTTCCCTTCTTTTTTGCCCTCAAAATACCTCCAGTTTTACATTTCATTTTCTCTCAACTCATCGTTGATCGACTAAGACATACATTATTCCACAGCTTTATGCTTAAAAATAGAAACACATCCTTTCTGGGGGACTCTCGTCTGTTTCTGGGGTTTCTGGCGGACTCTTGTCCGTTCCTGGGGTTTCTGGCGGACTCTTGTTCGTTCCTGGGGTTTCTGGCGGACTCTTGTCCGATCCTTGGGGTTCTAGCGGACTTTTGTTCGTTCCTGGGGTTTCTGGGGGACTCTTGTTCGTTCCTGGGGTTTCTGGGGGACTCTTGTCCGTTCCTGGGGTTTCTGGCGGACTCTTGTCCGTTTCTTGGGTTTCTGGCGGACTCTTGTCTGTTCCTGGGGTTTCTGGCGGACTCTTGTCTGTTCCTGGGGTTTCTGGCGGACTCTTGTCCGTTTCTTGGGTTTCTGGCGGACTCTTGTCTGTTCCTGGGGTTTCTGGCGGACTCTTGTCTGTTCCTGGGGTTTCTGGCGGACTCTTGTCCGTTTCTTGGGTTTCTGGCGGACTCTTGTCTGTTCCTGGGGTTTCTGGTGCAGCCAGATTTCCGTTTTGGCACACTCCTAGTCCTAGTAAACCAGTCCTAGCAATAAGAACCATTCTTTAATCTAATTTCGACTCAAAAATCTTTTTTTTGCTTGTTTTTATTTTACAAATATTCCCGGGATTTCTATAATTGCCCTCACGCCTAAATCCATAAATTTATAAGATCCAAAAAACGACTGCGTGAGATTTATTTCTTTACAATTTCCTTTGTGGAGAAGTGAAATGACGTAAATGTCAAAGGAGATTTTGAATTTAGAACTTCCTTTGGAAAATTTCGAATCGAAAACTTTGAAAATTGGCATTCATTGGCTTTTTCCATTGCTGAATATGATTCTAACAATAACAATATATCAGAATTCTAATAGAGTGTTATAGCCATGAACAAAAGTATTGCGAGAAGCGCTAAAATGCTAATTTTTCTCTAATTTTTGCGAAAGCTACAAATTTCTGTTTAGAAGAAACTATTTTATACGTTTTCTTCTTTACAAAACAAAGAAATTAACTGAATAGATTGTTTTATTAGAGTTTTTAAAAGTTATAATCAATTACTTGAGCATATTTCTGTTTTCTAAGTGACAAAAGTTAGCTTTAATGATTTACCAAGTTTTTCAATAGTTTCTGTAAAAGTCCAAAAGCTGATTTTAGTAATTGAATAGTGTAGAATTTGAATCCAGTTTTCGAGAAAAATACTTTTAAAGTTTGCGCACTTTTTGGAAAGGGACCGAATTACTCGGTCGAGGGTCGAGGCATAGGGCCGAATTACTTTCCTTGGTGCTTTAACAAAAAAGCAAAAGGGT